GTAAGAACTTTGTATTGTTTTTTTTTTTTTCATTCTCCAAGTTACTGAGCAATATCTCCACATTCTGGAGGAAGACGAGATTGTTAGTAATGGAATATAGCAATCCCATTGCTCGCAATATACCCTGTTAGGTTAACTTCCATATGTTACACCTGGAAACCATCGGGGGGAAAGGGATTATTAGTAATGGAGACTGAGAATCCCATTGCTAACAATATCACTATATAACAATATAACCAGGTCGACCTCCTCGCGGTTTCCCCTGGAAACTATCATGGTTAATTCCTGATGAATTCATCATGATGTGCTAACTGGCCTGTTTTCATTCTCATCTATCACCCTTCACTGGTGCTCCGCCAGCGTATCCCGTTAGCGCAGGCGGGGTTACCATACCATTTTCACCCATCAAAAAAAGACCTGGAAACCATCGTGATTAATTCTTATTGAAATGGACAGGAAGGAGTAACTGAGCTGCAAATACCGGTAGCGCAGGTTAACATTTAAATCATACATTTACATTTAAATCATCACAAACATAAAGAAAACAATAATTAAACTCTAGTACAGTGATGGACAAGTTTTGTTTGTAAATAAAGTAGATATTTTAATAATTTGATTATTCGTTCTATTAAATAAATCGTAGACACAAACGAAACTAGCTAGTATATACTACCTACGCAATCTTTCATTATATAAACACACTTATCCACTTCAACATTTCCCGCGCTTTTTGACATCCCAAGGACGCCATTTTGTGACGCACGAGCGTAGTCAACATGGCGGCCTGAATCACATTTTATTTTCAATTCCCCCGTGTTTCACCTACACCTACCTTTATTTGTATAATAAATAATGTTTTTGTTACACCTTCCCTTGTTTGCTTTTGGAAACGTGATTTTCTCAGTGTTAACTGTTGCAAGATGTAATATAATATAAACGTATACCTACCTATTTTAAATTAAATAAGTTTTCCATAGGCTTAAAATGTATTTTACTATAAGTAAATTAATTTTCGTTTGGAAACTGTACTATTTTTTTTTTATATCACTGAGGTGACAAACAAGCATACGGCCCACCTGTAATACCCTGTAAATTTACGCCATATCCCACCCTTCAAACCGAAACACAGCCATGCAAACACAACTGCTTTACGGATGAAACACGAATGGGACAGAGGTACACAAGCAATCGACTTTTGTACAAAGTTTCCCTCACCTTTGGATGGAGAGGAGTAATTATAAACAGTTTGAGTGGAGGTATGAAACTCTGTTCGTTTTTAAATACATATAGAGAGATGCATACGTAGAACAATGTAAATATTAAAACGTATATTTTGAGTTACTACGTACTTAAATAAATGCCTATATACATTTAAATATACAAATACATATACATAGAAATACATACATACAATCTACTTATGTATTGTGTATGATTTATCAAAATTGAACTGCGCTGGTAGATCTAAAAACAACTACTTGACATCTCAATCGTTCGGCCTGGTTATTTTAACACTTAGACGATTTCAGATCTGAATTACAGTCTAGGCCAGACATTTTATAGTGGATATAAACTGGATGAAGCATTTAAGATGCGTATAACCTATATACATGATTGGAAGATTGACTGACACTTTAGCCCGGGGGAAAGGGATTGTTAGTAATGGAGACTAAGAATCTCATTGCTAGCAATATACCCAACCAGGTCGACCTCCTCGCGGTTCCCCCTGGAAACTATCATGGTTAATTCCTGATGAATTCATCATGATGGGCTAACTGGACTGTTTTCATTCTCATCTATCACCCTTCACTGGTGCTCCGCCAGCGTATACCGTTAGCGCAGGCGGGGTTACCATACTATTTTCATCCATCAAAAAAAAAAACTCACTAAGACTCATCACTCAAATGAACGTGATAAATTCACGCAAATTTGTATGAAAAAGTTGAGCCGCTTTTCTCGAAGCATTTGTATGGAGACACTTTATTTACTTATATATAATCTAAGGTTTTCACCTAATGGTTAACTAGTAGAGAATGCCGTACGACGTTTAGCTCGCCAATTGTACAGATTTTATTTTGTAATAAAGAATAAATAAATAATAGTACATTACTGCAACGGCCAGCAACTGAGGCATTGATGGACGAACGTACAAATGTGGGCCGAGTCGCAGCCGAGGCACACATACGTGAGTCCATCAATGCATAGTTGTGGCCAAGGCTTGTATAGTACTTTTCTCAAACAATGCGCGGAAATCAAAAACACAATTTTACTTTTTAAGTTCAATGACGAATAACGAACAATAATACATTTTCACGCGCCATAATGTTCCTTTGTTTTTTTTTTTTCAATAAACAGCTTTCTGTTTGCAAGCCAGTTCGAAATTTAAATAAAACCTTGTATTAGTTACCTCCTTGGTAGCCATGTTTCGAAGTAAAAGGTCATTCCATTTTTAAATTACAGGACAGATATGAGTTTACATAGTAATTTATCTGGCCGCAAAACACGACAGATATGGATTTTCATACAACTTTTGCCGGCCGCTGCCCGCATGTATCTGGCCAGTACGGCAATTTTGATTTATCTCGAAGAAGATTGTCAAAATAATGCTCACATTTCCAAGCATGTTTGAGAAAATATTGTTATTGGACATTCTATTGAATATTGTCCATACAAATAGTGTTTGAAAAATGTTAAAATGTCCACCCGTGCGAAGCGGGGACGGGCCGCTAGTTTTTTTATAATATAAGTATTAGTAAAAAGGAATTGTTACTTCAGTTCGCAATAAAACAATGTAGTGAGAAGACGTGTCATTTGATTTTCTAAAACAGATCAAGCAAAACCATTTTTGAACCTTAAATGCTATAACAATGGGATTTATTCGTAAAAAACATAACTGTAGTTTCTTAACTAATATTAATATATATATATATATCGTATGTGTGTATGTATGTATATCTATGTGTTAACACTAATACATGCCTAGACAATGACGGACGGGCATAAACGTAGTGGGTAGGCTGTGTAAATTATTACAACGTAACGGTCACCATACTACCCTGCATATTGGATATTAATCGCTCGGTCGAGACGCCCTCTGTGTGACACTACACTTGACTACTACAAGACTGTCTTATTGTTACGCTGTAAATCTTATTATTATATATCTATTTTAAAGGAAAACTAAGACTATTAAATAAAATACGTTTATTACATCTAGACAGAAAAAAACCTCAAAACAATGATAGGGACAATAACGGGTCATTGTCCATTAAACAAACATCTATACACAATAGGAGCCACAGACAGCCCTCTATGTCGAGGCTGTTTCGACGCCGAAGAAACGGCTGCTCACGTAATCCTGGAATGTGAGGCTGTGGCCCATCAACGTTTAGAAATCCTCGGAACGGTGAGGTCGCTCCGTGAGGCCTGTGAAGAACCCAGGAAGCTTCTGCGCTTCTGGACGGAGCTAGGTTGGCTGCACTAGCCACGACTCATACGCACAATGGCCCAAGTGAGAGGCTAAGTGCGGAAAATGGAGTCCCTTTCACATTCACATTCACATTCAAGACTATTAAATATATTAAGGACTATTACTGCACCAACCGGAGTATTTATTAATATTGTATCAAATTTTATTGTATTTATGTGTGTAAGTTTTTATTAATTTATGTATTAATGTTATATTATTATTTATGTACTTTTATTATTTACATATGTAGGTATATAGAGCTGTTTTTATTGTATTATATATTCAAGTTTTTTACTGGTTATTATTTAGTTTATCTTTAGCTGTACGGTTATTACCCTTGTACATTCTACAGTTTTCTTTCAGCTTCTCAAAGGTTGACTGTAAGAGATCCCTTTATGGGATAAGTCCGCCATTGTATATTAAACCTTTTAATGTATCCATGATTTATGTACAATAAAGATTTTACAATACAATACAATTAATATTATAGTATTATAAGGGTACAATAGTGTCCGTTAAAATAATATGAAATTATTTAATAGCTCTAGCTATTGCGTAAACACGTATGAATGACCTTTATGAAATATTTTGTTCGTTTGTTTGTAAGGATCGCGCACTATGTTTTCACGAGAAATGATTTATGACTAGCTACATCATTTGTATATATGTCACAGAATAAGATTTAACACAAAAACATATGTTTACTAATAAAACTGCCTGTATCACTGCAAAATATGGAATAATGAACTTGTTAAATAAATGTTTTTATCCAATATATACCTAATATATTTATATTATCTAATATATAAAATTCTCGTGTCACGGTGTTTGTTACCAAACTCCTCCGAAACGGCTTTACCGATTTTTATGAAATTTTGTGTGCATATTGGGTAGGTCTGAGAATCGGCCAACATCTACTTTTCATACCCCTCAACGATAAGGGTGACCCTCCCCAAAAAAAATATTTTTTATTTTTTGACAATTTTTTTCCATTTTTATTTTATTATGATTTAGCATTGAAAAATACATACAACCTCAAATTTTTACGATCAACTCCTGTTTTTTAATCGCGATTTTTATATGCCGCAATAGGGTTGCAAGATGGCAATCGAATATAATAATTGTAGTACGATTTATTTTCATGTATAGTTCTCGAAATAATGTATATGGTAAAACAACGTTTGCAGAGTTAGCTAGTATATTTATATATTATTTCAGCCGTTAACTATCTACTGCTGAACATAAGACTTCCACATAAGGAGTTTTGGCAGTTGTGTTTGCATGGCTGTGTTTCGGTTTGAAGGGTGGGATATGGTAGTGAAGTTACTGGGTACAGAGGAATAACACCCGAGTCCTCAGGAATGGCAACGCACGGGGGGTATCACGGGCGAAACAGTACGCTCTGTTATGTCCATGGTACTGCTCATGTCTATAGGCGACGGTTACCACTTTCCATCAAGTGGGCCGTCAGCTTGTTTGCCATTCTAAGTTGTATAAAAAAAATGATTAATGGTAAATCTTGTAATTCCAGGAAGTCCCTTGTGTCGCAAGAGAGCAAGTTCCAAACGCAAGTAGCGGCACTGACCGAGCTTGCGGACTCGAGGTGCGGCGAATCGGAGCGCGCGAGAGAACTCATAGCGGCCTACAGGAAGGAGATAGAAGCGAAGGACCAGGAAATAGAACGTGAGTTTCTTATCTCGTAAGCTTTCATATTGGTTGTGGAATGAACTCCCTGCCGAGGTTTTCCCAAGAGACTACAGCATGAGGTTCTTCAAAAGGGGGGTAAAGAGGTTTCTTCAGGGTTGGCAACGCACGCGTAATGCCTCTGGTATTGGAGGTGTTCATAGGCTACGGTAACCACTTATCATCAGGTGGGCCGTATGCTTGTTTGCCACCTCAGTGGTATAAAAAAAATTTACACATATTACAAATTTATAGTCGGGACTCCACGCCACGGGATTACCAGTACTAGGCTCTCCCCCCCCCCCGAATGTGGTAAGTAGATTACCTTTTGGGGGGGGGACTCTTGGTAAAGTCTAACAATTTCATTGCTAGCAAAATAGCCTATCAGGTAGACCTCCACCCGATGTTCCCCAGAATCTATTGTGATTATCACTTAGAGGGTTTGCCAGTAGTTGCCACGCTTGGCAGGCGGATTGGCAAACGCTGTTAGGCTTTAGAGATGTTTTAAGAAAGACGCTACTACCTATTTCTCGCCTCTCTCTTAGTTGACTCTTACGACACCCACGGAAAAGGAAGTGGTGGGCTATTCTATGCCGGGACCAGACGGCCATTTCATTATCATCGATTAAAGAAAAAAGCAAGCAACTTTGTACCGTCTCCCTCTAATGGGGTCTTTGCCCAAGCATACCAACCAGGAATACTATAAAGTGTATTTACTCACGGGTGAACATCACACATCGGGTTCGTATTTAGTTCTGGATGCCCGCCAAAAAATCTTAACGCGTGGCTTTGTTTAGATTCGCTTGTAACAGTATCTATTGTCTATATATCTCCACCACAGATTATGTGGAAGGGAGGTGGGGACCCGCCTCGTGTCTCTGGTCCTGTAGGACATTCCAAACGTCTCCATTTTCCTATTTTTTTTACTATTACTATTATTTACTTACAACACCAAAGGCATTGCAGGTGTGCTGCCGGCCTTTTAAAAAGGAAATATGCTCTTTTCTTGAAGGTTACGATGTCGTATCGGTTCGGAAACACTGCTACTGGAAGTTGATTCCAAAGACTGGTTGTGCGTGGACAAAAGTGCCTTGAAAAATGCACGGTGGAGGACCGCCATTCGTCCAGATAGACAATGGATGTTCCTCTACCATATTCTATGTTTATTTATTATATTTAAGTCTAATTAAATGTTCACTTTTAAGATTTTTACTTTTTTTTTTATACAACTTAGAATGGCAAACAAGCTGACGGCCCACCTGATGAAAAGTGGTAACCGTCGCCTATAGACATGAGCAGTACCATGGACATAATAAAGTATACTGTTTCGCCCATGATACCCCCCATGCGTTGCCATTCCTGAGAAGTCAGGTGTTATTCCTCTGTACCCTGTAAATTCACGCCATATTCCACCCTTCAAACCGAAACACAGCCATGCAAACACAACTGCTTCACGGTAGAAACACTAATAGGACAGAGGTACCCAAGCAATCGACTTTTTTACAAAGTCTCCCTCCGGTAGTAGTACTAAATAAACATAATCACTTGTACATACAAATGTGGATTGTATAAAAAAAACTTGTAAAATCACATTTTCTTAAACTCATTCAGCTTTGCTGTTCCGGGCTTTTGGCAGACCTTTTTTTAATAAATGGGAATTGAATGGTTACGCCGTCTGAGTTGCTTCCACTGGCTCTGGCTGAACTTTCATATCAACTTTTCTTAAATATCTCTCTCTAGTCTAGTTACAATTTTGCAATATTAGGTATGAATGAAATTTATTGCTAAAAATGTGGTACAATAAGGTGATACGGTAATATTACAATAGTTGGTTTCACACATTTTGACTAACTGGCGTGCAAGTACTAGCAATATACCCTGTCAGGTCGATCTCCACGCGTCTCCCCCTGGAAACCATCGTGGCTAATTCTAGTTGAATACGTCACGATGGGCTAACTGACCTGTTTTCATCCTCATCAGTCATCTATCACTGGATCCCCGCCAGTGTATACCAATAGCGCAGACGGGATTACCATACCATGATCACCCATAAAAAAAAAACTGACATGCAACAGCAAATCCTTTACACAGAGAAATTATATCCTTATATTGAACATAGCCTCGGGATAATGCTAGTACAGAGGTGAAATAAATAGTACATTACTGCAGCGGCCAGCAACTGAGGTATTGATGAACGAACGTGTAAATGTGGGCCAAGGCACAGCCGAGGCACACATACGTGAGTCCATCAATGCATAGTTGTGGCGAAGGCTTGTATAGTACTTTTCTCAAACAATGCGCGGAAATCAAAAACACAATTTTACTTTTTAAATTCAATGACGAATAACGAACAATAATAATTTTTCACGCGCCATAATGTTCCTTTGTTTTTTTTCAATAAACAGCTTTCTATTTGCAAGCCAATTCGAAATTTAAATAAAACCTTTTATTAGTTACCTCCTTGGTAGCCATGTTTCAGTAAAAGATCATTCCATTTTAAATTACAGGACAGATATGAGTTTACATAGTAATTTATCTGGCCGCAAAACACGACAGATATGGATTTTTATACAACTTTTGCTGGCCGCTGCCCGCATGTATCTTGGACAGTACGGCAATTTTGATTTATCTCGAAGAAGATTGTCAAAATAATGCTCACATTTCCAAGCATGTTTGAGAAAAAATAATTTATGTCCGTAAAATCATCATTTCGCTCGTCAAGGGACATAGGATTCACAGAACGTGGATCCGACTCACACTTCGCTATTTCTTTTTCCGCGTCAATAAAGATCAGCAGAAAAAAGCAAATTTTATAGCTTCATAATCAATCAATCAATACCATATTAAATACACCATAAGCAATAGGCCACCCACAACTTCTCCATAAGTACTAGGAACACATAAAAGGGTGCATATAAAATATTAATACACATTATAAAGTTACAGCCGCGACCTTCAGCCGCTATATTTAGATGTGATAAAACAAACATTGGTCTAATAATAAAAACAACTGCCAAAAACACATTCGAGCGCGCTTTTCGACGAAAGTGAATTCCAGAAATAAACTCTTTCCTTTATCTTGAAATAAACAATGACGTACACTGATGATTTCTTTGTTGTCATACAGTAATAAAAATTGTTTTGGCATCTAAGTATAGGTATCTACTCAGAAGTCTTTGAACAAAGGGCTTACTCCCATGAAACCGTATTTCTGCATAGATAGTACATATTTGAATACCTATAATGCTTCTAGTGTTAACGGTGCACCGCTCTCGATTATGTCAAGTAAAAATGTATCGAGCAAAGCTCGCCTTGCCACAATTCAAGGAGTACTGACACCAACACTCATGTATGGAAGCGAATCGTTGGTATGGCAGAACAAGCATGAAAGTAAGACAAATGCTGTACAGATGAGAGCTTTGAGAAGTATGTGTGGTATTACTTTAAAAGATAGAGTAAGAAACAGTGTGATTAGAGAGAAGTGTGGACTGAAAGACGATGTAGTGACAAACAATCGAAAAAGGAATGTTGCGTTGGTTTGGTCATTTGGAGAGGATGGATGAAAGAAGAATTACGAAAGAGATTTATCGAGCAAGAATGAATGGAGATGTCGGTAGGGGCCGCCCTAGACGGACGTATGTCGACCAAATAGGCCAAATTAAAAGTACCCGTAACCGGCGAGCGTGTATGAAAAGATTGATGAATGTAGAGGAAGCGAAAGAGGTCTGTTTGAATCGAAGCATTTGGCGTTCCATTGTTTCTGCCTACCCTAATGGGAGACAGGCGTGACAGATATGTATGTATGTATGTAGAGTGCTTCTCTAGCAAAATCTTTCATTGTTTTATGTTATCCTAGTATCGCATTAGGTATTGCGGTATATGAAATTGTCATACTTTTTAACCGTTAAACAAAGAGATATTATTTTTAAAGTATGTTGTCCTAGTAACGTATCTTTTATGTACATACTGCAAATACAGTTTAATGGTTTTTAACCCCATAACAATGGGGGGTTAGGGGGGGTACTTTGAAATTAAACTACATTAGTTTAAATTAGTGAGAAATTAACCAAAGAGAAACTTAGTAAAAAAGTTTACATGAGTACTTCTTTCCCACTCGTCCGGTGCCTGGCTTTTTTTTTATACAACTTAGAATAGCAAACAAGCTGACGGCCCACCTGATAGAAAGTGGCAACCGTGGCCTATAAACATGAGCAAAACCATGGACACAACAGAATATACTGTTTCGTCGATGGGGTATCATGCGTTGCCATTCCTGAGGACTCAGATGTTATTCCTCTGTACCTAGTAAATTACAGTAAAACACAGCCATGCAAACACAACTGCTTCACGGTAGAATCACGAATGGGACAAAAGTACCCAAGCAATCGACTTTTGAACTAAGTCTCCCTGGGAAGAAAAGGATTGTTAGTAATGGAGACTGAGAATCCCATTGCTAGCAATATACCCCACCAGGTCGACCTCCTCGCGGTTACCCCTGGAAACTATCATGGTTAATTCCTGATGAATTCATCATGATGAGCTAACTGGCCTGTTTTCATTCTCATCTATCACCCTTCATTGGTGCTCCGCCAGCGTATCCCGTTAGCGCAGGCGGGGTTACCATACCATTTTCAAACACCAAAAAAAAAACCGCCCGCACTATCAGTATATACCGACGAGGCACTAGTTGAAGATGATAGGTGAGAATGAATGCAGCTCAGTTGGCCCACCATGTTGAATGAATAAATAAATAAAAAATCCCCTACCCCTGTAGTCGATGGTTACCGTTATCCATTTAGTAGGCTGTCAGTATTTTACGATAAAATAATAAAATTCTTTTAAATTTTCAACGTTGCATTAAAAACTAGGCAATTGTATAGCAAAATATCATTTCATAAACTATGCTTAGTTCTTCTCCAGTGAGTGACAAATAGTTGATACGCCTCGGGTGGCATTGTAATGCAGGCCCTACCCTTAATCTATGGAAACAATAATATTCTATAATATTTATAGGCATCATAGATTATTAACTTGGCCTTCTCTGTCTATGATAGCATAAATTAAGACATTTTACACAAAGTCTCAGTACAAAGAAAGGTACAGACAGCCATTTTTAATTTCATAACAGAGTTTCCGCGCTGCACTACAGAACAACTAAACAATGTTAAGAATTATCTTTCTACGTATATTTTCATTAAAAATACAAACAATCAAGAAGATTTAATATCTAGCTAAAAAATCCATAAAAGACAATTGTAGTAATTTTCTTCCAGACACCAGACTAGGCTGTATGGGCTTTGTTCTCTTTGCCTATTCTGCAAAAAGGATGAAGAAAAAAAATAGAACTGTCATTAATATTTTACATCGAAAAAATACAACATCCCACGGGATCGAATCCGGAACACTGTCGCGGCCTTCAACTAATCTTTCCTCTAATTAACGAACGCACGAACTGTCGTTCTTTCAGCGAATACCGGATGGGTGTACGCTAAAAGCGAATCACTGGTATTTAAACTGTTTTAAAATTGTTTTAAATCATTTCAAACCGCTGCCTCTACAATTATGTTCGCCTAGTATCTACATCTTGGAAAATAACCGGTTTACATACTTACTCGTTGCCAATAAAAATATCTGGATAAACTAAATTCCCACTGAATCATTTCCGCCAATAAATCTTAACTATTTCGCAACCGTGTGGTCCCGGCATAGAATGGGTCACCTCTTCCTCTCCCGTGGCTGTCGTAAGAAGTGACTATGGTCGAGGAATATGCAGCAGCGTCGCTCTTAAATCAACTCCTAATCCTGTTACCAACACGCTTGCCAAGCATGTGGCAATTACTAGCAAATCCCCCCTAGATGAAGGCCTATGTTCAGCGGTAGATAGTTAACGGATGATGATGATGATGATGAGTTATTAAAAGCAGTATCATCTTACAAACAACGATGCAATGATTGCAAATTCTTATTGCATTGCTGATACAAATCTTAGCTTATCTGGCCCTAGGAACGCAGAACACAGAGCAAGGGTTAAATTTAGACGAGATTATCTGATCGTTTGATTCGCGGGTCGAGATTAACACGAGCTATATACGTTTATCAGTGAATCTATAACAGTATCGCAGCACATTGTTACATCAGGGTGTCAACCATGAAACGAAATTCCGAATTTTCGGACTCAATTTCGAGTTATTGTTCATACCGAAATCGGCCCAGTAAATGGAGCTTAACATTTCGTTCGTCATAAATCCTACCATAAAAGTCCAAAGGAATGATATTTTAACATTTTTAACATCTTTAAACTGTATGTATTATGTAATTTTAATATCATATTTGTATTTCGTTCGGGCCCGAAATTTCGGAAAACACTTCATGGTAGGCCCACTGTTTTCAGATATAGGCCTTCTCTCTATTACTTCGGCCCTATCTTCTACCACATTCATCTAATCTTATTTCCAAAACTACGGCTGTTAAGACTCATATCATTATATCACCCTTTAACTCTCCACTGTTGATCTGCTATAAAGGTGCTCTCCGATAAAGGGCGTTTTGCCAGTAGTAGCCACGCTTGGCAAGTGGGTTGGCAACCGCAGTTAGGCTTTGGTGATGTTTTAACATTTACACTGTTCATCCCTCGACAATTTTTCCTTAGTCGCCTCTTACGATACTCACGGGAAAAAAAGGTGTGGCCCCTTCTATGCCGGGACCACACTGCACCAATAACACACTATCAATCCAGAATTGTCAACGCTCCATTACTCTGTACTTCTAATAGGGACCAAGTAAGTTCGACTGGACTCAATAAGCGATCGACAACTGGTCAGAATGGATGTCCACGCCTAGATTTCCAAAATTGCGATTGTTTATAAGACCTAGCTGCCCCATTACAAATAACATATTCTGTCAGTTTGATCTACACGCAGTTCTTCCTGGAAACCATCGTGATTAATTCTTGTTGAATTCTTTACGATGGGCCAACTGATCTGCTTCATCCTGACCAATCATCCATCATTGGTACCTCGCTAGCATAAACCAATAGCACAGGTGGGGTTACAATTTCATTTAATCCGTTAAAAAAACTTGCTTGGCGTAATAGCATAATTCAATCTCTCATTATATATATATATATACTAAAATATACAATGTTTGTATTACAGATTTAAAATGCGAACTAGCATCCGCGTACAAAGAGTCAGAGCTGGTGCGACAGCGGAGCCGATCTCTGGAAGAGGAGCTCACAGCAGCCAGGAGCTGTTCTGCAGACCTAGCACAGCAGTTGCAAAGACGAAATGGTTGGTTTGAACTGTTCTTATAAATGTCAAAAGAATATAATCTTCTTTCTGCTTTCTGTTATTATTTATAATAGCAGTTAGCTGTCCACTGCTGAACATAGGACTTTCTCCTGAGAAAGAGTTTTTTCCAGTAGTTGCTATGCTTGGCAGATGGATTGGCAACTGCAGTTAGGCTTTGGTGATGTTTAAAGAGGGACGCTAATACCCATTAACTTTCCTTTGTTGTCTCTTACACTCACGGGCAAGGAAGGGGTGGCCTATTCTATTCCGGGTGTTCCCGGCTTTTTCTGTTCTACTTCTTGCACTATTTAGCCTGATTTTGGATTGACTATTTCCTTCGCAGATGAATCACTCCGTCAGCTAAGATCTGAACTAGACGATGCTTTGACACGACGAGCGGAATTGGAGTCTCGAGTGTTGGCGTTAGAGCGAGACAAGGATAGATTGGAGCAGGAGAAAGTTTTACAAGAGCAGAAAGCCCAAGAGGTGTGAACTATTGTACTACAGAACATTTACACCAATAAAAAGCAACCTTGTTGCTAACATATTAAAGTTGTCTTTATTTTAATATCAGGCAATAGCAGCAGCGGAAGCGAATACAGCGAAATGGCGATCTGCGCACGAGTCGGCACGTTCGCAAGCGGCCGCACGAGCCGAGCGGATGTTGGCCGATTGCGAATGGAAGATGCGAGAGCTGGAGAAGAAAGCCCGGGATGCGGAGAAACAAAAGAAAGAGGTAAAATTATTATTTACTTACCTTACATATACCTTATATTAACAAGTAAAGAGAAATAATTACATAGGTTAAAAACTAATAGAGAAAGTACTAGAAGATAATAATACTACTAGAGGATACAACAGAAATTCTTAGAAGGCGACTTATGTATTTCATACAAATATTTACTCCAAAATGCCTGCCTTGCACCTTGTCTGGTCGACTTTCACATAGTCCTTCTGAAAAACCAACCTTGTTAAAATGCCTGATAACTTTATGACGATAGACCAACTGACCTTCATCCTTACTCATCATGCTTCCCTGGTACCGCACACAGCGAATACCAACAGCGCAGATGGAGTTACTAAACCTTCGTCTATGGGGTTATCATTTTCATCAATTAAAAAAACTTAGTTTTAGTTTAAGTAACTATTACCTCACGTTATTCTTCCGGACGATTATAGCTTTTAATATAGAATTTATATTCTTACACTTGTCCTCAGCTTGCAGATACAGTAGAACAACTAAAAGCCTCCCCCCCATCGCCTGCACACATCGCCGAGTTACAACAACTGAGGGGCCTAGCAACGGAACAACAGAGATCAGTGGAAGCCCTCACTCTTCAACTGCAAAAGGTGGAGACGAGGGAAGAAGCGTTGAAGTTGGAAGTGCACAGGCTAAAGGAAGTGCTAGATAAAGAGACTAGAATTGGCAAAGAGAAGGAGGAACGGTATTTGCAGGTTAGTGCTTTAAGATTATTTCGTTATTGTCAATTAAATTCTATGCAGGAACATTAAAAATAATTCAATTGTTTTTGAAAATTTTAATTACATTAACGATAGTTTCCTGATGTATAATAGTTTAGAAGAATATCTTAATTTAAAGATATACATTTGATGATCCTTCGAGCCGGATAGAAACAAACGACTGACGACTGATTTTAAGTTGTTGCACTATTTTGCGTCGCACACAACGATATATTTCATACGAATTACAATTAAATGTGTTTAAAAATATCGTTAACTTACGAATTAGGTGATTATATACATAGAACATTTACACATGGATATACTCATTTAATATAAAACATTCAAATAAAATTGTTAGAATCTCGATAATTTCTTAAATGGGTCTCTGTCTGTCTGATAATGACCCTAGGGGCTTATTACGAACGTTTAAAACTAATCAGTTTTTTTTTAAATAAATTTAGTTTTAAATTTATTACCGCCTTTTAAAATCTCATGACTACAATCCAATTTCAAGAGACTTTAATTTGCAGAGTGGCTTCATTTAATCTATAAAAATGTTAGGTTGTCCTTTAAATTATCACTTGAAACGTGGAGAAAACGAGTCAGTCGGTAGTCACGTGGTAATTTTCTAATGAGCCCCCTGGCCGGTCTGTTGACGCGCCGCCGCCGCTCGCAGAGCATCCAGCGGCTGGAGCAGCGGCACTCGGAGGCGCTGGAGCGCGTGCGCGGCGAGCAGGCGGCGTCGCGCGCGGCGCTGGAGCGCGTGCACGCCGAGCGCACGCGCGCCGCGCTCGCGCAGCTGCGCGCCGACACCGAGCAGCGCGCGCGCAGCGCCGACCGCAAGCTGCGGGAGGTCACCACCCGGGTACGCGCTTTCATCCTCACCTATCATCTGCCCTAGTACCTCGCAGCGTATACCGATAGCACTATCGGGTTACCATTCCATACCTATTTAACCCTTCTTTGTTTAATTTCTTTATTGGTGAAATAAATCAAGATGTTCAAAATTAAAGGAGAAATGGTTAAAAAAATAAATTTGACAGCTATGTTTTTTTTTTCTGCAATGGATATTAAAAAGGTATCCATAGACGATCAACTTAAAATGAACTTGTTCTTTTAAATAATTTTCAAGCATTCAATGTTTTTGTATTATTATTTTTGTTATTTTTGTGTAATATTCCTTTTTACTATATGTTATTGTACTCATGCTTTCCTGGGTAAGCGTATTGGAAGACTGTAAGACTCACCCATGGAGGATGTAATAAATAAATAATGGAAATTTCCACCATTATGCAAAGAAGGGTTTAAGAAACCTTTACGGGGTCTGAAGGGGAAAAAGAGTACATTTAAGTGGTATAACCACATTTAGAAACAAAACTGTGAGTGTCACCACTAACCAACAAGTCTATTGATTCTAATGCCAATACATTAAATTCAAGACTTTATTTATATCACTTCTAGTTCGAAAACCTCAAAGAAGTTCTAGCAAGCAAAGAGTCGCAGTTCGAGAAAGAAATAGCAGAAGCCCACAGCAAGGCCGACTGGGACATTCTGCAGTTGAGGCACCTGCTGGACAAGGCGGATATAAACTATGCCAACAATATAGAACAGATGACTGAGCGATTCGAGAAGGAAAAAGGTTGGTACCGCTGATAAAAAAGGAAGGGAGAATCCACGTGAACTTAAGAGAAAGGGCAAAATAACCTGTAAGAAACTCAATCGTTCCTCTTTTTAATTTAATCCATTGTGTCCATAAATCCATAAGTACCCTTCTTTGAGTTGCCATTTCTAAGGACTAAGATGTTACCTTCGTACCTTGCGTACCTCATAATTTCACTGTCATATATCCTTTAAACCGAAACATGGTTCCAAACGCAACTGCTTAGCAACAGAAACCCATATTCGAAGTATATAAAAAAAAAATTTAGTCAGCTACAAAACATATACACATTTTTATACAACTTAGAAAGCAAACACGCTGACGGCCCACCTGATGGAAAGTGGTAATCGTCGCCTATAGACATGAGCAGTACCGTGGACATAACAGAATATACTGTTTCGCCCATGAATCCCCCCCATGCGTTGCCATTCCTGGGGACTCGGGTGTTATTCCTCTGTGCCCTGTAAATTTACGTCATATCTCACCCTTCACACGGAAACACAGCCATGTAAACACATCTACTTCACGGTAGAAACACAAATGGGGCAGAGGTACCCAAGCAATCGACTTTTGTACAAAGTCTCTCTCTGGTAAAATTAATGACAACTTTATACATTGATCCCATTGAGCTTAAGCTGCAGCATGTTGCTGCAGCGCTGTGGAGTTTCAGTGGAGCCACCACTCGATAGGTAGCACTCGAGAAATAGAATTAAATCTATACTGTTAACTAGACCTATAAGTTTAAAACCGAATATTTACAGAACGTTTAATAGAAGAATGGTCAACTAAACTTCGTCAAGTAGAGGAGGAAGCAGCCACAGCGGCTGGTGAGGCTAAGCAGCTTCTAGAAACGACCCGAGCGAAACTGGTATCGGAGAGGCTCGATCAAGTCAACAAATTGAAGGAACAACACCGACTTGAAATGGGTACGATGAATGCTGCAGAACTCTTAACTTTTAATAAAAACCACAGGAAAGCCATGATGATTTAGCAAATGAAAATGTCTTCTTTTTTTCCTCTTTTTGTCACGTTCTCTTATCTCCTACTAATATTTATGTGAAAGTGTGCAAAGATACTGTTTACAAATTTGTAATTCAATCAATCTTAAAAAAGTTTAATGATTTTGAAATTTGATATACAGGTAAATTATAACCTAACTTAACACAATACCCTTTATAATACTGATTTACGATCACAGGTAAAGCTACGGGAAAAAGCTAGTTAGTAATTAAAAGACACAAAATCTGTTTAGAGTTGCCGAAGATATCTTGACACCTTAACTTTACTTGTTAAAAAAAACACGCTATTTTTAATTAACGCTTCTCGTTGTTTAAATTAGTTTAAAGTACATTGAAATTGATATAAAACAAAATTAAAATAATTTGACTTTAAATAAAATTTCAGAGCAACAATGGGAACAATTTATGACCGATAAAGAAAGTTGTCTTACACGCATGAAGACGGAATGCCGGCAAGAAGGAGAAGAAGAGAGAGTTAAAAGGGAGAAAGAGCTCTTGGAGGAAATTGCAGGTTATAAGCCCAGTCCTAAATTAACTAAAACCTCTTACATATTTATTTTAACTATTAGAGGGATATCTTTCTTTCATATTAATTCAGAATTTATTTTAAAACAAACTGACTTAACAGTTTATTACTAAACTATAAGGTTTTTGTAAATAAAAACTATTTATTTATTTTATGTAAAAGAGAATAAGACAATATTATTTTCATTTTGAATTAAATTTCATGTTATTTTTTTTATTTAATTGTAAAATATAAAAAAAAATGTCGGAAACGACAAAGCACCATGAGTTCATTAATTTCCCAGAAATAAGATGGCTGATAACAAATCTATTAATAATTAAATAATCATGCTAATCGTTAATACCTAAAAATTAAAGCGGTGAAAATATTAAGAATCTTGCACTTACGAAGACATATTATCAAATACAAATTACAGAACTCAAATCGCAAGTTCAGTCCAAATCTTCAGATTTTGATAATCTAGCAGTGAAAGCGGCTGCCTGCGGGCGAACATTAGCAGTTACAGAGCAAGAGTTGAGGTTAGTGTTAAAGTTTTACTTTGCACTGTAAATGTACATAATTGTATATATAGACGACACATTTGTGCATGGTCACCATTCCATTTCATAATATTTGCAAATTATTTGGTTACATTATCACGCATTCATAATATGCTTATTTTTAATCACATACGTACCTATAACTATTTCTATTAATACTTCCTTTTTTTAATCATATTTATGTTTAAAAACCTTTTTTCATACTATTGAAAATTTACATCTAATCAAGTATTTTGTCGACATATTGTTGCTAACAAATTTAGTAAACCAAATACGATTGGTAGCGAAATTGGAGTCCTGTAATCCCAATAATTGTACCTAAAAACTTGTAAATGATTTTTACTAATAGTAGAAAATATTGTCTTTTGGACCTCAATTTGGCTACCATATTACCATTGCGTGTTGACTTAGTTTCACCAAGAATAAACTGTATTTCTTTAACTAGTACAAGACAGATTCAAATATGAATTTTATTTAAGTTTAGTTACAATTCTATTAACTTTTTCACTACTAACTGGAAGACTATATAAATAATAATAAGAAAAATGTCTAAAAATAGCTTGTAAAAAAATAGTTTGTCTACTTAATTTTTAGTTCTTGGTCAAACGCCACCAATTGTAACATCCTTTTTATTAACAGTATACCAACAATCATTTGTAATTCACACAAAATCAATCATTAATTCACTCTGTTTCATTGTCATTATGGCTTCATCACAAAAAATAGCAGTCCAAAAGGCAGTATTTTAATAACATTTTCAGATCAAGAAATATAATAGTTTAAAACTTATTTAAATTAAATTAAATCTTTGTAATCCATACTTTTCATTACGTTCTCTAATTTTCTGGTATCTTAATTTTAAGATAAATCGATATCAATATCTTTGTATTCACGTCATATGACATTTCTAGGAATTCTTTTAGCTAGAGTCCGTTTCTTATAATTTTTGTACAGTAGAAATTTTAAGTTTATCGTAAAAATCAGCTATCTTTGCAGCAAATTATTGATAACGTAATTTTAAACCTAATGCATTCTAGATTATGGGTTAGATTTAAATATCGTTAGTACCAGTAATTTTACAATAAATACCCCATAGACAATTCTAGGGTTATTCAGTGAGATAGATAAATAAATGTGAAAGTGAACAATTTTAGTTTGCTGCAAAATTATATTTTTTTTTTATACTCAAATAAATAATAGAACTGTTTTGTTATGGGCCCAGTTATTGTATAGTAACTCAGAATCTTGAGAAAAAAAAATATTTAAACTTTAAATGCACAGTGAAATTCTATGCACATTTGGTGGACTTAACACCGGACAGTGTTCTCTACTAGTCAACCATTGGGCAAACCGAGAAATACCGAAAGAAACCGAGTAAGCGGCGCATTATTAAATTGAAAAAATTAAAGATTATGGTGAAAATAGATTAAATTTTATATATTACGTAGTTTATTAGCATAAGAACTATTTTCGATTAATTTTTTACACTTATTTCAAGACACATGCCATGTTAATGTAAAGTAAAAGTCTGAACGAAATAAAAAAATTGTTACATTATTCTAGCACAAAATAAGAATTTAATATTTCAAAAATAATGTTGAAATCAATGCGTAAAATGACGAATATGATCTTCTTAATGAAAACAATGTTTTATATCTATAGAGAGATTTCAAATCAAGTCAATAATTTATGTATTTATTTAAATTTTTTTTTTTATGTAACCGTCGCCTATAGACATGAGCAGTACCATGGACTATACTGTTTCGCCCATGATACCCCCCATGCGTTGCCATTTCTGAGGACTCAGGTGTTATTCCTCTGTACCCAGTAAATTCACGCCATATCCCAACCTTCAAACCGAAACACAGCCATGCAAACACAACAGCATCACGGTAGAAACACGAATGGGACAGAGGTGGCCAAGCAAACGACTTTTGTACAAAGTCTCAAGAAAGATAAATTTAAAAAACAAAGTAAAATTGTGAGAAAAGATATTATAGATTGAAATACAATCAAGATTCCCTTTTCTATACTAATATTATTGTAAAGAGGTAAAGTTAGTGAGTTTGGATGTTCGGGGTAACCTCCGATATTACTGATTTTGAAAATTCTTTCACCGTTACAAAGGTATATTATCCCTGAGTGCTATAGCCTACTTTTTATTTGGGCAAATATATATTTTCAATAATTAATCACAATAAATGTAATCGAAGTGAGCAAAAAGTCTACAATATGGCGGTGCGCTGCCGGAACGGTTTGAAATAAAGGAATAAAATGTATGGCAAAAATATATTTATTACTTTTAGCTTTACAAAAAAGTCCGCGACACTATACATATATTTAAGTTTAATATCTCAGCCAAAAAGTAGATTTTTCTTGTTAAAAGTAAAATAAATTTTACACGCGCCAAAATACCAGCCTTACTAAAATATGTTGTACAGTTTAAAAGCTACACAAACAAACAGTGCACCCGTGCGAAGCCGAAGCGGGTCGCTAGCTTTATATAAAGTACCATTAACTGGGTCCAAACTCCATTCATATATTTCTGAAATATCTTTAATTCTATGTACCAAGGCATCATAATTTGGTAACAGATATACCGCGCTGGCCGCGTTGGTCGCAGCGGGTGCAGTCTTCGGCGCCACCAGCTCGCCTCGTCTCACTCTTGCCACGTTCCTCCTCTCGCTCGCACTAATTTTTTATATTATCGTCAAAATATCTAATAATAAAGTAAAGATTAACTGAATGTTTTTATAATACTGCCGAATGGGATTGTACTGTTTTTTTTTTAACTGAAAATTGAGAATCTAGATCCCTAAAATCGATAATTAAAATTAACTCTCATTTAAATAAATTTAGATAGATAGATATATAATTTACTTGCATTACTTACAGCAAACAAATAACTTTAGATACAAAAAAAAGCATACTCAAAAAAAGAAATAAAAGAATACTAATACATAAAAATCCGGTTAAGTGCGAGTCGGATTCGCTAAACGAGGATTACGTACAAAATCGTCAAGTTAAAATTTGTTTATTTGAGAAATAAAAACAAATTTACAGTTTTCGAATTTTTTCCTTTACTTGTGCTACATGGCATTGCTTCTTGCCAAATTTCATGGTTCCAGGTCAACGGGAAGCACCCTATAGGTTTTGATTCCCTTTGCGAATGTCAAAATATGCGATATAAATGGAACACAAACGGCCGTATCTTTTGGTTGCGTCGATTTAGAAGCTCGACTTTGTCACTGCTTCAAGAGATCGCAGACCTGAGTATATGATATTAATTTCAACTTGATACCTCCACGCGTTGCTGAGAAAAAGGGTCTTGACAGACGAACGGACGATCGGAATTTTCGTGAGCGTGTCATAGTAAAGTATCCCTGATAAGAGCAAAACACTGAGTTTCTGTATTAATATTATATATTTCTCTGTAATAACATTTCTTGTTTTACTTGCAACAAACTCACTTACAATATTATTTATTATATTAGTAAAAATTCACTTAATAAATTTTCAGTTAATAAAAACAGTACATTAAATGTTATAAATTTTTTTTAAACAAAAATTACAAATTTATAATAAACATAATAATTAATTCAATTATCCATTAGCTGCTACGAAAAAAACTATATATTTATTGTATATTGGACAGTGGTTAACTAAAATCAAGTGTTATAAATATGTATTCCCACTTCAGTTAACTTTAACACTGATTGTTTAATTATAATTATTTTGTTTAATTCCGCTAACATTAGTATGTGAGTGACTGCCAACACTCAAAGATTTTTTTAATGCATGATAATGGAATGGTAACCCCGCCTGTGCTGTTATACGCTGACGGGGCACCAGTGAAGGATGATAGGTGAACATGGAAGGGCAGGTCAGTTAGCCGATCGTGATAAATACACCAGGAATTTCAGGGGGACCATGTGAAGGTTGAGCTGATAGGGATAATCAAATCTAACGGTATACGCTAGCGGAGCACCAGTGAGAGATGGTAGGTGAAAATGAAAAGGCAGATCAGTTAGCATATCGTGATGAATACACTTGGAATTCAGCACGATGGTTTCCAGGGGGACTACGTGGAAGTCGACCAGACAGGGTATATTGGAATACCAATAATAACTGGGTAATAACTGGGAATTGTAGTCCGCATTACTAACAATCCCTTCCCCCTTACAGTTGAAGGTTGACCACCACTGTAACTGCAATATTATTTAATTTATAAGTCAATCTTTAAGTGTTGGCATTCGTACACATACTAATGTTAGCGGAATTAAACAAAATAATCCTAATTAAATAACCAGAGATATAGACTTTCGCAAGATAACACGTTGTTCAGTAAAATTTAGTAGAATATTTGTTAATTTTATATTTTAAAATAATTAATCTAGTCATCATTCGAGAATATTTTGCTCATTATTATTTTTGTTCATAATAAAATTATATATGTGATATTCTGATGTAATTAATTTAATATATTACTCATACATAGCTATGTTTATACTCATTCATACGTCATTTGTCGCTTTAAAAAACCGCTTGTACATTTTTTTTTTCATTTTTATACTTTGTTTTTATAAAAAAAAAGAATTGGTTGTGAAACATTATAAAAATGTTTAATTAAAAAAAATAACAATATTTTTTAAAAGTAGTTTTTTTATTTTATTTCCCGCCAAAACTCACTCGGACACAACCAAACTATACATACAGCTATAACGACCCTTATATATTTTTTTTTTTAAATCTAATATACCATTATGAGAACAGCTTGCGTTCCGTTTAAACAAAATGAGTTTTCCCTGAAACCTTTCACTAACCATAGAGAGGCACTTGCGAGAGAGAAGGAGCTAAGGGAGAAGAGGTCAGAAGATACAACGAAATTACGGCAAGTGGAGAGGGCGGGCAAAGACCAGATAGAACATTTGACTAGGAAATGTGCTTGTTTGAGGAAACTGTAAGTATAATATTTTGATTACATATTTTTATAGTTTTCTATCAAGTGGACATCTCAAAAATGGTGGCAAATGAGAAGTACTATTGTGTCATAGTATTGTTTTGCTATGTCAACAGTGCTGTTCATGTCTATTGGCTATGGTTGCCATTAAAATAAAATATTTATTTATTAAAAAAAAACTACCTCTAAAAACTTTTTGCATAATCGTTCCATATTTCTTTTTTTTTTGTAATAGATTATAATGGAATAGTAACCCATATATACGTACCCAGGTATACGCTGGCGGAGCACCAGTGAGGGATGATAGGTGAGAATGAAAAGGCAGGTCAGTTAGCCCATCGTGATGAATACACCTGGAATTCAGCACGATGATTTACGGGGAGGACCACGTGCAGGTCGACCTGGTTTGGTTGTATTACTAGCAATAGGGCTCTTAGCTTCCATCACTAGCAATCCCTTCCCCTTTAGCAAAGGATGTTAAGAGAGGATGAAGTCGTGGCGATAAGTCAATTATCGCGACTTCATCATTATCGTGACAAAATCCCTGGTGAAATCAACCACAATAGTTTCCAGGACAAAACCACGTAGAGGTCGACAGGGTCTATTATTAGATATAATGGGACTATTAATCCCCATTACTAATTCCCCCCGCCCCTTCTCATAATGAATTTTTTTTATGGGTGAAAATGGAATGGTAACTCCGCCTGCGCTAACGGAATACGCTGACGGAGCACTAGTGAAGGGTGATAGATGAGAATGAAAACAGGCCAGTTAGCCCATCATGATGAATTCATCAGGAATTAACCATGATAGTTTCCAGGGAGAACCGCGAGGAGGTCGACCTGGTTGGGTATATTGCTAGCAATGGGATTCTCAGTCTCCATTACTAACAATCCCTTACCCCCCTAATCTCATAATGAATTTGCACTGTGTTTAGTTTCGACGACATGCGCGCGCGACTGTCCGCCCGCGAACGCACCGCGGAACAGGAGGCGCGAGCCAAGGATAAAGAGCTCCACCAATTGAGAGCAGAAGTGGCCAGGCTCACCAAGATACTGGTGGAACAGAGGTAAGTGCATTTATGAAAAAGGAAAAGCGAATTCTATTTTTAAAAATTCAACCTCCTTAGAAGCGAACTTTTTCAAATTAAAAAAAGAACAGAACGAAATTTAAAATCGTTCGTTTTGATTTAATATCGCATGTCTATGATATATCCAGAGGGAGGTTTTGTACAAAAGTCGATTGCTTGGGTACCTCTGTCCCATTCGTGTTTCAACCGTGAAGCAGCTGTGTTTGAATAGCTGTTTCGGTTTGAAGGGTGGGATATGGCGTGAATTTACTGGGCTTTAGGCTTTGGAGATGTTTTAAGAGGGGCGCTGCTGCCCATGTCTTGCCCTTCCTTAGTCGCCTCTTATAACACACACGGGGAAGGAAGGGGTGGCTTATTCTATGCCAGGACCACACGGCAAATAGTTTACGTATCAATTTTAATCGCAGCTCACCGAAGTTGGGCGCGCGAACCCGCGCGGACGGCTGCGAACACATCCAACCGGAGGAGACGGCCTGCGACGCCCCCCGGCGGAAGGGTATGTGATCTGCCTCGCTGTATACAGCTATTTAGGTGAGCATTGCACTAACTGTATATATATATATTTGTCTATGCGTTAACTATACGGACACAGTAGCGACCTCGTTGGATTGGGTGACGTCCAAATTAAAAAATATATTCGGGAAAAAAAGCGTCACTTCGAACAAAACAACTTTTGCATGAAAACTATGCAACCAGTTTATTGGATTTGAAATATTTACACTGTCAAATAACTAAGTCTTTTGGGATATCTATCGATATCGATATATTGGATAGAAGCATATTATAAAAAGAGTACTTATTTATATATATATTTTTACACTTTATTGCACCGTTTAAAAAAAAAACAATAAATGCAGTGACTTGTAATGATAAATGATACAAAAGGCGGTTCTATGGCTAAACTATCTCTTCCATAGAACTTTTGGGTAAAGGACATTGAAAGTATAATATCTACCACACTTTGAAAGAGTAAAGTTGAAATAAGTAATTACAAAACAGTAATAATATCATTTATTTTAATGTGTTGATATTTCTGGATAGTTGCGTAAATTTATTTTCCAGTTTTGTCAATATAATGACATTACCGATTTTTAATCATAATTATTATTATCTGGGGGGAAAGGGATTGTTAGTAATGGAGACTGAGAATCCCATTGCTAACAATATACCCAACCAGGTCGACCTCCACGCGGTTCCCCCTGGAAACTATCATGGTTAATTCCTGATGAATTCATCATGATGGGCTAACTGGCCTGTTTTCATTCTCATCTATCACCCTTCACTGGTGCTCCGCCAGCGTATCCCGTTAGCGCAGGCGGGGTTACCATGCCATTTTCACTCATCAAAAAAAAAAAAAATTATTATCTCTAACATACCCTCTGTTTCCATTGAAAAAAGATTTACCGTTTTTACATTTTCATATTTTTCAGTACTTTTAACATATAATTAAAGGATATTTTAATATAAAATTATTATTTTTACGATGTTGTCAACATTTATTTTGCAAAAAAATTTCACATTTACATATGATGTACAAAATATTTCTATATAAACAAATAAATGAAAATATTATTAAAATGGATGTCACCCAATAAGTAGCGACGTTGTTACTGTAACAAGTTATCAAGTATCATAACAAGAATTTTGACAAGTACGGTCTGTTTCAATATAATTTAATGCAAATATAAATGAACTAAATCGACCCGACTATAAACAATTTGCTGATGCCCAATAAAAATCGATAACAGATTGAACGTTTCGATTTGTTACTAATTTCATTTAGAGACCAGGGTCGATTCTAACATGTTATTTCTCTAAACCTATCTCTTAATCTTATATCTTGATTTGATAATTTTGCAAAATGCTTTACGAGTCATTATAAACTAAAATTATTATAATTTTGACTTTTTGAAAATGAGTTTATATAGGTCCTTATAATAAATAAAGATTTCGTTGTGATATCGAATTGAAATTTGGATTTTAGAGATAAGGTTTTAAGAAATGGCAGCACAGAAACAACCCCTCAATATTTCATTAAATTATAATGTGACAGAGTATATTTAACTTACTTTTTTTTATTACAAATGTATCGTCACGTGGTGTTCACAAGGAACTGTGATTTTCACGTACTTTTAACGTAAATAACTATAAAATTCTGTGCTAAAATTGAAAAGTTCATATTTGTTTTTAAATTTATTAAATACTTCATTTAAATGTTCTATTCTAACTGCATATATGTAAACAAAACTATATTAAAATTGTGACTTATGAACTGATTGTGATCATGTTTTAACTGGTGATTAGCATGGTCACGTGATATTACTTTCTATATCACTTTGTTACCTAACCTAAAAAAAATATATCTCTATGGAGTCGCGTCTGAGGTACCATATCTCTAAACATATTAACTTAAAGTTTTAATTTGATAGTTTCGCGAACTTATGGTACTGTTTTATTTATCATAAACTAAATTTGTAATATTTATGACTGTTAAAAATCGAGTTCATATTTGTTTTTACAATTACGATATATATAAAATTTAAAGTAATATACATATATATAATATATATTCTTTGTTGCACTAATATACACAGTATTATTAACAAATTAGTAACAAAGTATCCAAAGACGAACTAAAAGAGATTTTTTTCCAATCAACCTAACACAGAATTATTAGTTATAGATTTAGAGAAATGGTAACACAGAATCGACGCCTATGTTGCATAACGTGAAGTGATACCTAAATAAAAAATTTTCGAACTATTCATTATGTTATTTCGTAATTTTTAAATCATACTGATATTGTTTTGAACTGTTCACAGGCATTTATAATATTTGTGACGTGTTCTAATTGGTATTTATATTATTTTCTGTTTGTCTGTATTCTAACGTTGTTTAAAATATTTATTACGTGTTGGCGGGCAGCGCATGTGTCTTTGTTTCGCTTTTAAATGTTGCTTATTTTTTTAATTTTTTTTTTCTTTCTAAAAACTAAGTACACAGTGCGTAAATTGTACTAGTAAATAGTGATGTACCGAGTCTGGACGAATCGAATGTTGACTCGAATAATTAGGTAATCAAGTACTTAATATACATGATTTTAATGCATAATATATGTGTATAATACAGGTTTCGAATACTTGAAGTACTCGAGTTCTAGTCGTATGTTGTTTATATTTTTTTTACGTTTCTGCTAAATCGTTTCATTATATTTTTCTTGATTAGCTTAAGCTAACTGAAACGATTTGACTGAACATTTATTATTTTTATTGTTTTTTTTTTTTTAACAAAAATCAATTGAAAAAATAATAAAGTTTTTAGAAGTACTTAAATATTATTATACAATTATTCAAGTGCTCGTCCAAGTCTTCAAATTCGATGATCCGATTATTTTTTTAACGAGGACCAAAATAATCGAGTACCGAATAGGTCCACCTCGGCACATTACTATTCGATTCGTTACGAAATTATGATTAATTTAAACTGTTTTGCATTATTATAATTAATTCATATTTAATAATAAAGTAAACTTTATTTATATGTGCTTAATAATATTAGCAGGTAGTTATGCTCGGCCCTTATACAGCGTGAAAGGGACAGGTTGACAAAAAAACTGAAACAGTGTATTCAGACCGTTATTCTGAACTGAAAACCGGTGGAAATTCTTTCCGAAAAATTTCAATATTTTTTTTTGTTTTTTTTTTTATTTAAAATCATGTAATCTATAAAATCATATAAAGAAATATAAATAAAAAATAGCAATGTAATATTCATAGTCACCAGAGGGAGACTTTGTACAAAAGTCGATTGCTTGGGCACCTCTGTCCCATTCGTGTTTCTACCGTGAAGCAGTTGTGTTTGCATGGCTGTGTTTCGGTTTGAAGGGTGAGATATGGCGTGAGTTTACTGGGTACAGAGGAATAACACCTGAGTCCTCAGGTATGGCAACGCATGGGGGGTATCATGAGCGAAACAGTATACTCTGTTATGTTCACGGCACTGCTCATGTCTATAGGCGACGGTTACCACTTTCCATCAGGTGGGCCGTCAGCTTGTTTGCCATTTTAAGTTGTATAAAAAAAAGTATAAGAATCCTATTGCGATGCGCGGAATCAGCTGTGTAAAGTCAACGCCACAAACGTACGTAAACTACCTACGAAGAAGCGTCACTGACTGCGCACTGTAGGTGTCGCGCGTCGTGTGGATCGTAAAATTTCAAATACATTGCGCGGCGTCACAACTAAGAATCGTTAATTATATAGCTGCGATGCATTTCCGGCGGGAAAATAATCTGCCATCTGATTCAGACCATCCATCTGAATCAGCTGTTTTCGTTTTAGCCAACCTGTGCGTTACACCCTGTATATAAATTATTTATTATTATAAACAGTATTTATAATACGTATGCATGTGAATTACTATGACATATGCTTTATATGATAGTCTTGATATTATTGTAATATATATATATATATATATATATATATATATATATATATATATATATACACCCGCGCTATCGGTATACACCGGCGGGGCACCAGTAAAGGATGATAGGTGAGGATGAAGCAGGTCAGTTAGCCCATCGTGACACCCCCCCCGCCCCTCTGAAACAATTGTGCTGAATTCCAGGTGTATTTTTTATGGGTGATAATGGCATGGTAACCCCACCTGCGCTATCGGTATACACCGGCGGGGCACCAGTGAAGGATGATAGGTGAGGATGTGAGCAGGTCAGTTAGTTGATCGTGACGAATTCAACAAGAATTGTTCACGATGGTTTCCAGGGGAAGCACATGGAGGTCGACCTAATACGGCATATTTGTTGTAAATAGCAGGATGCAGTAATAAAACATATATGTATTTGTGATATAAAATAATAAGTTTAGTGAAAAAATACGAGACATGTCTTATAAAAATCTGACATAGAACAAGCTTCAAAATAATACATTGTTCTAAAAAAACTCAGTGTCAACAGCCAGTATTAAAACTTCAACACGCCCTCTTAATCCTGGATGTTGACCAGCAACTGTTTGACCGCTGACTGATTGCCGCAATATATTACGATAGCGTTAATATGCCCCGTCAGCTCGGAGAGTAAGACACGGACGTACACCGCTTCTCTTACCGCCTCCAATAATACTATATACTCCGCCTCGGTAAACGAAGCCTTTTTCACCACTAAACAATCACGCGATATGAAATTATTCATCAGATCACGCCGTTCAGTCACATAATTTGTGGCACCTGAGTTAATTTGCAACGAATTTTCTGTATCCGCACTAGCAGTGTATATCGACAAAACACAGTTTCCAGACAAAACTCTTTTCACTGCGACAATCTTTTTTTAAGATGCCATTTCTGTCTACACTTTCAGCACCACGGTTCCTTCTTATGATAAGAAGACTGCTTCGCATTCCTTAACTCATCTTTGTCTCCTTACGCGTCACTCGTTCCGGATGTACTCGAAGCTGAAGTGCTTTTCTTCCAAGAAAACAAGCATTCATTCGATTCACCACGAGTTGTCCAACGCTTTTCTTGTAATAATTTAGTCTTCACTAAACCAACTAATATTACAATTTCCGAGTGCTCACGTGCCATGGTCATGGATTCGTACTCCAATGGGAAACCTTGCAGCATAATTGCCCAAAGAAACTCATCATCGATAGTTTTATTCGTACTTACTAACTGTAGAACATACAACAAAACTTGATCGACACACGCCTCCATATCAACAAAGTCTTCCAGTTTTATTGAACAAAGACTACGTAACGTCTTCAATCTCATACCAAGACCTTTGTCATCATATGCACCTTCCAGAGCATTCCAAACTTGATTTGCAGTTTTAGCTCTCATGAGATGAGAAAAAAAAAAAAAAACTTTTTCAACACAAATCAATGATTTTTCCTTGTCGTCCAGTCGTTTTCTTATTTTAGGTTACAAGCTATCATTTGCACTATATCCACAAATACATTTTCATATATTTTCAAAAGTAAAAGCATTCTGCATAACAAATTTTCAATCTACATTGTTCACCCGTCCTTTAAGTTTTTCAAAGGAGATCGGCGAATTACTCTTGTTAAATATCGTGAAAATTTTCTACTTACAGAGCTGGGCCCATAACCTGTTGTAAATAGCAGGATGCAGTAATAAAACATATATGTATTTGTGATATAAAATAATAAGTTTAGTGAAAAAATACGAGACATGTCTTATAAAAATCTGACATAGAACAAGCTTCAAAATAATACATTGTTCTAAAAAAACTCAGTGTCAACAGCCAGTATTAAAACTTCAACAATATTGCAAGCAATGGGGCTGTCTAACTTCATTGCTAACAATCCCTTTCCCCCCTGGTTAAGCTATTAGGCATTAAAAGGTAGCAAACAAACTCACTTAAACTAACTTTCATTGCCAACTAGTGTTTTTTTTGAGTTTTTTTTTTTTAATTATGTACCAATATCAAATGTTATTTGTGTGCTGTAAGTGATGCAAATATATATCTATCTAATAGATAAAGGAGGTAGTTAACGGGCAGCTAAAGCACACGAAAGCTGTATGTGAAAACGACATAAATTCTTTCACGAGTTATATAATAACTATGTGATTTTGTTGATAGATCCCATCCACTAAACTGAGACACGACCATTAGTTACAGCTACTTAGTAGCAGTAACGTACTCGTTCACGCGTAACATGCGAACGATGCGTCACTTTATAATGGAAAGACAATTGGGGTCAATTTTGAGGCAACATTTCTTTAAATCTATCTCTAAAATTAAAGTTTCCATTTGATATTAAAGCAAAATTATTATTTTAAGAACTGTTAGATATGTGGGTAGTATTAAGCATGTACGGGTAGCTACGTCCACCTTTATAAGTCATTTGTCTATTAAACCAATGTGTAACCGACCGCGCGACCTCTGTGTTCACTTATCGCGTACCCAACTTGGCAATATACAACAAGAACCAATATAAACTATTTATTTAAAATTACCTTAGGATTGATTTAAGTATATCAAAATTTTAAATTATATTAAAGTTTTAAATTATATTATTAAATTTAAATTGTAGTTTTAGAGATAATTTAAAGAATATTACCTCAGAATCGACTCCACTCTGGAATCTTCTTTGAGAATTAGTTATAGTTTTTTAGAAGTAAATAAATAGCTAACATATTAAGCTTGATAATTCATTAAAATACCTTTGTCACATTTGTCCTTCTACGGACATAAATATCAACTTAAATTAATAATATGTATAAATACATTTCCACAGGAGGGACTCTACGTACTCCAGAGTTCGCGCGCAAACGTACACTACCGGAAATTTTCGCGCCATTGTCGGCGGTGCAAATTCAAAATGGCCGCCGCAGAGCCAGAAGTGTCGACTTGCCCGCCGTACAGGTTCCCGTTAGGATTAAACAGCTGGAAGAGAAAAATAAGGAATAAATTGTTTAAATACATAAAATTGTGCTTAACGTCATTGAAATATGATAATCATTATAAAAGATTTTTAGGTGTGTAGCAATTTTATCATGTCTACTAAGAGGTACCTTATAAGTAGTGATGGTAATATATTGCAATATATATATATTTTAGTTACAACATCTATATATTGGTTCAATAACGAATATGTTAAATGTCTGTTATCCAATATTTCATGTCGAAATGAAGAAACCGATCAACATTAATATAGATATGCGATCAATATGGACAATATTGATATAATGACCATTTCCCACCATCAATGACCATATCGGTTTTGGAGCACCAGTGAAGGGTGATAGATGAGAATGAAAACAGGCCAGTTAGTCCATCATGATGAATTCAACAGGAATTAACCATGATAGTTTCCAGGGAGAACCGCGAGGAGGTCGACCTGGTTGGGTATATTGCTAGCAATAGGATTCTCAGTCTCCATTACTAACAATCCCTTTCCCCCCAATATATAGATATTGGAACAATACCCATGCCTACTTATAAATACACTCTAATCGCCTTATTCATAAAAACTTTAAACAACGAATAAACCTATTTTAGTTATTAAAGATGTAATTACTTAATCTATGATTAAAGAGGTTTTTTTTTCACTAATTTCTCAATTTGACAGATAGTGACAATACACTAATAAGTTAACATAGGTTTGTTTATGGTTTTATTTTCTTTTTTTTTATGAATAAGAAGGCATATGTTTTTAGGGAAGTTTCTATGGCCGTTGCAATCATTTATAACCGAATAAGTAATGCTAAATTGACAACACGACGATATATCAAAGAAGACGAAAGACTAAGATGTAAAACTTAATTCATATGTAATCACAACAATAGCAAATTTAATATGTAATTCTACGTCTTTTTAATTTAAAATAATATTCAAAACTTTAGAAACTTCCCTTCAAATTATTTATAATTTAGAAAATTTTCAATTTAGTATAATTTAATTGCCTGGTATATTAAAATCGTTTAATACAAACAAACTATAAATAGGAATGGGTAATAGCAATACATAATAATATATAGTTAATATATCTATACATTGGTTCAATAACGAATATGTATGTAATATTAAAAATTAGCTATCCAATATAATATCTAAATGAATATAGATTTAGATATCTGACTAGTATGTGCGATATCTACGTAGGTAATGGCCTATTTTTCCCCATTGATGTCCAGAGAAACCAAATACATAGATATCGGATCGCCACTGATATTACCCGTACCTAATTATAAACTATCCAATAAGATGTGGCCATAGAGGCAGCGAGAAATTATAAGGAGCGGATAGTGAAGTCGCTACTAACCAAATTCTTAGGAATTAGTGAACTAGTACAGAAGGCGATTTAAAATATTATTTTAGTTTTTTTTTTTTTTATATTGTAGTGTATTTTAAAATAACCTCTGCGACTTCATTGAAGGATATAAGCGTGAGGATTTATTTCAAAATATTTACTACCCGCCCCTAAAATGCAGGGCCGGATTATATATAAAGTAGTGTAGAGAACTGCCTAGCATAAAGAACCTGCGTATCAACAATAATTTATTTATTTATTTCCACTTTATTGCACCATTTGATATGCATCTCCCACGCACAACCACTCTTTGGAATCAACTTCCAGCAGCAGTATTTCCGAACCGATACGACAACATAACCTTCAAGAAAAGAGCATATTCCCTTTTAAAAGGCCGGCAGCACACCTGCAATGCCGTTGGTGTTATGGGTGACCATGGGCGGCGGTAGTCACTTGCCATCAGGTGAGCCGCAAGCTCGTTTGCTCCTGTGTTGTAAAAAAAAATTATAAAAATATAAATACAGTTTATTTTAATGAGAAGTGAAAAGGCGACCTTATCGCTTAGCAATCTCTTCCAGACAACTTTTGGTTAGAGAACATTGGGAAAAAAGATAAAGGGTAGGTTGCACACTATTATATAGATACTAATGTAAGCAAACATATATACATATATAAACAAATATATGCATACTTAATAAAACTCATATAATAGGAGAAAATAAGGGAGAAAGATGCAGAAAGAACATGGCATTTTTTAGAGAAATATTCTTTAAATTTTTATTACATTTGAAGATTATTTTTACCTCTTTTTTATTACATCATCATATTTCAAAATTATAACAGTCGAGGTTGATCCCATCACTAGTTACCGCGCCTCCCGCGTCGATACCGCCATGCACAGGCAGTCAGTCCTCCGGCCTGCGGCTTACTATCCGCACGTGTTCGCTCGTGCCCTCCTAACAGGACTAACCTCCCCATAACTAACAATCCTCCCCCCCAGTATATTTTGTAACCCGTTACAAGTTATATAGAATATTATAGCATTTTTTCGGAAACGAGACTTACATTACCTATGCACCCTGAAATAATTAATCCGGCCCTGTTAAAACGTGCAATATGGTGGTCACATAATAAACATCGCTGCCTCAATATTTATTATAACTTTATACTCTTTAAGATTCAAACGAAGCTTATAACATTGAAGAGAAAAGGGTATCTAAGTTTTAAATTTGATTTATTCCCTTCTGTTCTCTGCCATCGAATTATATAAACTTTAACTCCAATACAATTGCTTTTTCTCTTTCTCGCAGAGAAATTTTATAAACAGTACTTAATAAGAACAATCTGATATAAAAAGTATTTTTTAATTTTTATAATCTGTCAAACAGCTATAAAGTATTATAAAATTCTTTAATAAAACTTTAGGTCTAATTTAAAATACCTCCCATTGTATATTACTAAATTTATGTATTTAACAATTAATATAATAAATGTCATAAAAAAAAAACGAAGATATTTCATAAAGAGATCTGCTGCTACTTCGGAAACGTCCATTTACAAGCTCCATCTTGATACCACATTTTGTAAACGTGATTTTAATATCACTCATTTCTTTAACATAATTTCAAAATCACCCATTTGATACTTACACTGTCTCAAGTGTATATAGACTCTATGGGCTAGTACACAGAGCTGTAAAAGTATTTTAAAAAAATAAATTCAAGAATGTTTACTACTCGAGGGTACAGACGTCAGAAATGTCAGTTTCGAGACGTCAGAAATCTCTAAAACTATGTGTGAGTACAGACGTATATCGGAGTGTGTAACTAACCGAGCCAGAGACTTCAGGGTGAACAACGCTATTGTCTACCCTTCATAAGCGTCCACACATACTACCTACTAAAATAAAATAAACGAAAGCCTCTCTCGTAATACAACAGTCCAATTATGTTATGATATTTTATTGTCTGCCAGTATTTATTTTAACTAGCAACATTATATTATAATTAAGTATACAATATTTAAATTACAGTGTAGTTATAGTGATTTATCTATATTACTTTGTAGTTTTACTCTCGTGTAATGTTATGTTAATATACTTTATTACTATAATTATAAAAATGTCCCAGTTAACATTTGATGTACGTAATGCACATACACTGATCGCTGCTTGCGTGCATAAAAAAATCCTTGAGAATTATATTCATCCGCTAATTCTGTAACATATTTATGAACGTTGCTACATCATTTAAAAAAAAAACAAAAATATTAATAAAATAAATGAGTAGTATAATTCTCTATAATTACTGAAGATCAGGCTGTATGGCTTAGTTCCTTTACCCTTCTCATCGTGGATAAATTTATACTATCACTACGTCTATGATTATAAATTTCGAACAGAGAACAAAGGTGTCCTTTATTCGGGATTTAAAAAGAAAAATATGAATTTAAAAAGTATAAAGACGAATATATCATTGAACTAAAAGTACCACCCATCATAGTATATATTATAATAATTGTTCAGTGGATTGCTTCTAAACCAAGACAAGTAACAAGTTACATGTGTCATCCAAGCCTGCGATATGTTGTGTACGAGATATATTTTATATTAACTGGGAATATTATAATTATGTTGAAGTGCAATAAATAAATTTAGTTAATCATATTTTTATAGCTAGAACCATATTTGCCTGCATTGTAGGAAATATGAACATATTACCACTTATAAAAAATTCAAAATTTATAAGAGATCCGCCTTAGTGATCCGTTGACTTTTAAATTTTTCAAAATAAGAGTCTTAGATACTGCAACGTAATTGCTACATACATACATAGAAATTCCTAAAAAAGTGAAAGCATACGTTATAAGTATATTCCACTCATGTTTTTTTTTTTAGTCGTGACATTTTTTACAATAAGAACATTTTTAAATACAATGGCAAAGGAAAAATCTCTTACATATTTAAATCGATTCTGTCCGCAATTTGTATTGCAAATCGTGCAATTTACGATATATTTAAGAATATTCATAAGGTACAGTTGTATTTACTCGTTCGCTCTGTAAATATCATTTTTCATAATAAAATTTTCATAAAAATAAACTTTGTGTTTTATTTCCCGCCCTTTTAACTTGCAACCCTTGAAATGAGGCTAAGATTAAGCACTTCATATTTCGACAAATGTATGTATAAATTAAATGAAAGGTAACCAATGTACACGAAAGTTTTGGCTAGTTTCATTTGTCCTTACCAACGTAACGTTACCCTACTTTGGGGGAAGAATGGAATTTTATTCCAACTATCTCCACTGATAGAGAAAAATGGTAATTTATTTCCACTTATCCCTACAGAGCGCTTATTATTTACAAGTACACTCCTGTGGTGTTACATTTGAAATAAATTCCAATAAATTGATGTTGAAATTAAGACGTTTCGCACTCGAATTGGCAATACTAGCGATATATTAGTTCCATATTGTTCTGATAGATGCATATTAGTGCAACTTGCCAATGCGAACTATTGTAAACCGATCCCAATTATAACTTAATTCCTAAAAGTTGTTTCATGAGTGCGGTATAAAATTGTCATTGGCAATAGATTGGATTGGGCGGAAAGGGATTGTTAGTAATGGAGGCTGAGAATTCCATTGCTAGCAATTTACCCAACCAGGTCGACCTCCTCGCGGTTCCCCCTGGATACTATCATGGTTAATTCCTGATGAATTCATCATGATGGGCTAACTGGCCTGTTTTCATTCTCATCTATCACCCTTCACTGGTGCTCCGCCGGCGTATCCCGTTGGCGCAGGCGGGGTTACCATACCATTTTCACCCACCAAAAAAAAAAAGATTGGATTGATATTGATTTTTGGATTTGGATCTTTCTTACCTGTGATGGTGCTGCGAGCGCCTACAGCTCGCGCTCAACAGGCCGAGACGCACAGTGCAGTGAGATCACAAATTAGAGAGACTATGTCTAAAGAGTCAGGTTCGCGATCATGTCGTAACTGTGCATGATTAAAGATCACGAATTGATCCCGAAACTAGTCGAGCTTTCTCGATCTGAATTAAACCGATAGTTATTACATTACAATGTAATTTTTTTATTTATTTCTTTTTAGATAACTTGGATCCATTTTTGTTAGTAAGTGTACTTAAAAACTATGTTAATACTTAATCACTAATAATGATCTAGTCCTCTCGGCGAGCATTCTCACGAGAGGACTATCCAATTTATTAACAAACATGTTCAGGATACTGTTGCTACTCCCGCGTATTCGACGTAAAAACGAAGCTGCCTTTTTCCGTCAGACTGCGTCAAAACTATCTGTGCGAGTGTCGGTAAACATCATTATTACAATGCAATGTATGCTTACGAAACTTTTAACTATAAAATAACAAACAGAACATCAGGTCTGATGAAATCATTCAACCCCACCTATCGTCTCTCATTGGTGCCAGTTACCGCCAGCGTATATTGATAGCGTAGACGCCAAGACCACCACTCCGTCTTCACCCATTACAAAACACTGTTTTCCATAGCCGATATTTGGAAACTTTAGAATATGAAAATGTATGTTATCTTATCTTAAATACTTATTTTAAATCCTCAAGTCTTACGAGATATTTTACGTGTTCTACCGCTTGTACAACGGACTGTGTTCAATATGATGCTCACGGTCACTTTCTACCATCGTACGGCTCGTCTACAGACTAGATGATCGTGTACAACGCAGTTTCAGAGATTTTTTCTTCCACGAAGACTTAGATTATGGAATGAGCGATCCCTGTCGAAGTTTTCCCAAGAGACTACAGTATGGGGTTCTTGAAAAGGGGATAAAGAGGTTTCTTCAGGGTCGGCAACGTGCGCATAATACCCCTGGTATTGCAGGCGTTCATAGACTACGGTAATCGTTTACCATCAGGTGGGCCGTATGATTGTTTACCATCTCAGTGGTATAAAAAAAATCTGTTTTTGTAAAAAGATATTTGCAATTATATTCATTTTTAACTTATTTTGTATTAGATACCTAATAAACCTACCGTTGGTGCTGTCTCGGCAGACAGAGTTAAGAATTAAAATTACTATTTTGAATTAGTTCTATCTTGTGCCACTAACTTACATATGCCGCTGTTTGTCGAAGAAAATTGCATTTACATGTACAGTTATGATATTAAAACGAAAATAAAAAAAAAAAGTACTTTATTTATATAGTTTTTAAGGCTTTTACAGTTGGGTCATTTAAGAGTAGGTTTTAGGGTAAATATTTTGGGATGTTAGCAACCCTGATCAATTGTCAATGCCAAAATAACTAAAAACATTATTCTAACCTCAAAACGCAATTTTTTCTGAACTAATTTAATTTATTATAACTAAATGTCTAATAAGCACTTATTTCTTAAGCCTGGATTCGTCCGGGCGCCGCTGCAAAATGGTGTAGGCCGTTACGTGCAGCAATTGCAGAGAATTGTACTGAAATTCTGCAAAACTCATGGTGGCAGTAGAGGAATGAGGCAAGTAGTTCTAATTTTGAATATTTTACTACCAATTTTTTTTTTCTAATGGAATGGTAACTCCGCCTGCGCTAACGGTATACACTGGCGGGGCACCAGTGAAGGATGATAGGTGAGAATGAAAAGGCAGGTCAGTTAGCCCATCACGATGAATACACCTGGGATTTAGCTCACCGGTTTCTAGGGGGATGTGTTAGGGTATATTGTCAGCAATAGGTGTAAGGTAGTCCGTATTACTAACAATCCCTTTCCCCCCAAACTGTCATGTTTACAGTATAAACTTTTTCCTACTACTTTACATGAATGCATTTACATATTATTGTTATTTTTTTTAATGATTAATAATGGAATAGTAACTTCGCCTGCGCTAACGGTATACACTGACAGGCCACCAGTTAGAAGTGATAGGTGAAGATGAAAACAGGTTAGTTAACCCATTGTGAAAGAATTCCACGAGAATTAACCACTATGGTTTACATTGTAAATCGCATGGAGGTGGACCTGATAGGGTACATTGCTAGCAACAGAGCTGTCAGATCCCATAACTAACAATCCCTTTCCTCCCTGCTAAATGACTTAACTACATTTTCATCTATCATGACTCCATTTTTTTTTAATGGATGGTAATGAAATGGTAACCCTACCTGTGCTATCTGTATACACCGGCGGGGCACCAGTGAAGGATGATAGTTGAGTATGAAGCAGGTCTAACTGACCTGCTTCATACTCAACTATGCCTGCCCATTGTGACGAATTCAACAAAAATTGTTCACGATGGTTTCCAGGGAGAACCACGTGGAGGTAGACCTATTAGGTAGGCGTATTGCTAGCAATTGGGCTGTCAAACTCCATTGCTAACAATTCCTTCCCCCCCCAACTCATGACTCCATTTATTATTAGCAAAATGTATGTACATAAATGTAGTAATATTTAATTTGCAGGGATTACATAGAGCAAGACTTGGTCGACTTTGCAAAACAAAATCCTGGCGTGGTGGTGTACCTGAAGCCGCGCCGCCACCGCAGCCCTGTCGTCGTCGCCGAGTACTGTGAGTGCTTTTTAACCAACTTAACATATTTTTTGTTTATACCACAAAGGTGGCTAACAAGCATAAAGCATGTATGATGGTAAATGGTCACTGTACCCTATGGACGCCTGCAACACTAGGGGTGACACGTGCGCATTGCCGACCCTGAAGAAATCTTAATATACCTTTTTTTAGCCCATACTGTAGTCTGTAGGGATAACCTTTGCAGTGGAAGCTTATTCTATATATAAGGATTCACATTATTGTACGTATGCATATGTATTTAAAAAACGAAGTTTCTTGCCTTCAATCAAACTGTTTATAATTACTCCTCTCCATCCAAAGGTTGCATGGAAGAGATTGCTTTTAGCGATAAGGTCGCCCATTGTTTTCTCATTGTGATCATTTCTTGTAAATGTTTATCTATACTTATAATAAATCTGTAGAGAGGTCAATTCTGTACATGAAATATATTTCCAAAATAACTATCAGGCGGTGATTAGTGATCGATACTGATGCCAAAAATGCAATCGGTAAAATTTTTGTCTGTCTGTCTGTTCGTTATATAAACAAAAACTACTCGACGAATTTTAATGAAACTTGGTATAATTATTCTTCATACTCCTGGACAGGTTATAGTATACTTTTCATCACGCTACGATCAATAGGAGCAGAGCAGTGAAGGGAAATGTTGGGAAAACGGGAGAAGTTACTCCATTTTTAAGCTTCCGTCGCGTGTGCAGCCTTAATGGCCACTTTTTTAAATGTAAAAATGTCCACCCGTGCGACGCCAGGACGGGCCCCTAGTATTTATAATAAGTTTACTATTGGAATCTTTTGGAGGAAACAATAAAGAGTATCTATCTTATATTTCCAGTAAACGGCGATAGAGTATGGATGAGTATGCACAACAAGAGTCAATCAGAAGTCACGAAGTGGATCGAAGTGCTCCGCACGCAGCAGGGCGACGTGTCCGGGACTCGTCTGCGCAAGTTCCAATACACCGACCACCCGTCCATTCAGGGGCCATGGAGCCCATTCACGTTCAAGAACCCAGAGTTGAACACGGCGAAACTTCCAGACCCTAAATTCGGCGCTAATAATAGATTACCAATGTCAGCCACAGAGCAGTTGAGGATAATGTTTGAAAAACAGAGGTTGAATGAGAAAGATTTGAAGACTGGGGAATAGATTGAGTCCAACATTGGGATCGATTCTGAGGCATGTCTCTAATCTCTTAGCCTAATATTTATTTATTGTAAAAATAATAACTACTGGTGTAATTAGATCGAGAAAGCTCGACTAGTTTCAGGATCAATTCGTGATCCTTAATCATGAGCGGCTGTTACAAGCGCGAGTTTGACTAATTTTTTAATTTGATAATTTCGTGGAATTACTATTTTATGAACTATCATAAACTAAATATATTATATAATATTTTTTACTTAAACCTATTTTTTTTTTTTGATGGGTGAAAATGGTATGGTAGCCCCGCCTGTGCTAACGGGATACGCTGACGGAGCACCAGTGAAGGGTGATAGATGAGAATGAAAATAGGCCAGTTAGCCCATCATGATTAATTCATCAGGAATTAACCATGATAGTTTCCAGGTGGAACCGCGAGGTCGACCTGGTTGGGTATATTGCTAGCAATGGGATTCTCAGTTTCCATTACTAACAATCCCTTTCCCCCCAACTTAAACCTATTAGAAAATTAATTCACATTGGTTGTTACAATAAAAATTACGCTGTAATATCAAATTGAAATGGTTTAGAGGAATAGTGCCTCAGAATTGACCACTTTGTCTGCAATCCAATGTATCTACGTCATAAGACAAATGAAATAGCTATAAATTTATTAAAATAGAAAAAAAAGCCCCGATGTAAATATGCATAAAGAGCCGATGACCTTGAAACGCCTGTACAGATCACAAATTGTAGAGCCATATCTAGAGAAGCATATTTGTTCCTATTTCATGCAAAAACTACTCAATAAATTTCGAATGAAATGTGCTACGTAGATAGGGTATACCCTAAGTTGCTATTTATGTATCGACTCGCACCCGCACACGAGAAAAACCGCGGTATAGACCATGTAATACAGTGGATTGCAGTGTAGTTTAAATTATTTGTATTATATATAGCTGTAGTTAATAGTTTACAATAAAAAATTCATACATTTATTTGCTTTTTTTACTTTTTTTTCCCCCCAAGGAAATGACAATATATATTCTTTATTGCACTTGTAAGTTACATATAAAATAATGTATTTATAAATGTTGTGAGCAAGCGTGGACTTATCTCTGACAGAGACCTCTTCCAGTCAACCCAGTACAGTGAGAAAGCATGTCGTTAGCGGACAGCTGAAGTGCTACAACTATTAATACATAAACAAATATATACATACAATACATACACTATAAATACATATAATACCTACCTACTTATATCTTCTTTTCATTTAAGAGTTTCCTCTTGTCGGTGCAACTAATTCATGCATCTTCCTCCAGCCAGCTCTATCTCAGGCCATATCCTTGACCTCCCCATACGACATGATACCTAGTGTTTCCTTTATCTGTCCCATGTAGTCATTCCTCGGTCTTCCCCTTCCTCTTTTGCCCTCTCTTTCCTTCTACTATGCTCTTAAAAAATCGTCATGTCCTACTTACTACTTATATAATAAATGTTAAAATAAATAAATAAACTACGTACATTACAAATTTAGTTTAATGATTTTAAGATTTGACAGTTCAATTAGAAAAATACAAAAAAAAATAGATTACTCGAGGGAAAGAAAATGTGATTTCAAGCTTTTCTTGAAAGAGGATTGTTAGTAATGGAGACTGAGAATCCCATTGCTAGCAATATACACAACCAGGTCGACCTCCTAACGGTTCTCCTTGGAAACTATCATGGTTAAGTCCCGATGAATTCATCATGATGGGCTAACTGGGCTGTTTTCATTCTCATCTATCACCCTTCACTGGTGCTCCGCCAGCGTATCACGTTAGTGCAGGCGGGGTTACCATACCATTTTCACCCATAAAAAAAAGTAAAATATTTCCTATCACAGGAGAGTTAATAGAAAAGTTTTTATGGAATGAAAATAAATAGATCAAAAACATTTTATAAATAACTATATTTTTAACATTCAACAAGTACACCTCTAATGTTATAACGTAATTAACTTACGTGTAATTTGTTCGAGGAAGCTCGACTAGTTTCGGAACCATTCCGGAACCTTAGCCCTTAGTCTATAGCAACTGACGCGAGCGCGAGCCTGACTACGCACTTCGACGTGACAAATACTGGGTTTCATAAGAGGCTATTGAAATAAGTCGACGCCCAAATTTTAATAGAGATCAAGAATGGGCACTTCCAAGTTCTTGGGCACCGTTTTTCTACCTTTCCTCCGTGGTCATTGTTAAAGTAACTCAGCAGTTGAAAGCAACTCGATAATACATCGTGATCATAGCGACGCTATGAATACGATGTATTACCAATACAACAAGCGTAAAGCAAGATCACCCAGCAAACCCGAAGATCTCCGAACGCCATTCTTTCTTATCTCTAACAGTACAGCAAACAAAACTCGCTCAGCAGATCGAAGCACATAATCAAAACCGGGCTCGCATCACAGCCGCTTAAGACTACGGGTCCCGAATGGTTCCGAAACTAGTCGAGCTTTTTCGACCAAATTACACGTCGATTAATTAGTTATTACATTAAAATCTTACGAAATTTAACAACAAAAGTAAACTTCTGCCTCTGGATTATAACAGAATGGAGATTGCTGCTTGCAAACTCTGATAGGACGCAGGTCCTCACCACGAATACGTAGAGGCTTTTGTTGGACCCGCGAGAACGCCGGTGCTATAGGTTGTCCATGACAATATGAGACATGCCCCTCCAAAACCCAAAGAGTTGAAAATGTGTGAGTAAAAATATTTCCAAAGTTTCGACCAGGGAGTATAACACTCCTCTGGCCGAAGCACCGCTGAAGACGTCTCCTCGGGACCACGAGAGCACCACGACTGTATAGGGGCACACACGGTGAAGTGAACAGCTGGAGAAGCGTGCCATGATAACGTGGACAGTCTATACCTGGACATTTATTCTTATTTTGTAATTCAAAATAACAAATTTAAAAAAAAAGAAATATTACAATTTCAGTAATTACTCAAACACATTTTTTTTGTTTATACAACTTAGAATGGCAAACAAGCTGACGGCCCACCTGATGGAAAGTGGTAACCATCGCCTATAAACATGAGCAGTACCGTGGACATAACAGAGTATACTGTTTCGCCCATGATACCCCCCTTTTGCGTTGTCATTCCTGAGGACTCAGGTGTTATTCCTCTGTACCCTGTAAATTCACATTTTAAGCGGGACATCTGGGTGAACTGCTTAATGAAACCAATTTGCTTTTCTTTTTTTACTAACATAGTTTGTAACAAAATTGTTACTAACAAAATGGACCAAATTGTAGTCTGAGTAATAAAGTATATTATTATTTTTTTAATTTCTAGAAAATTCTCATCTCCCCTCTTAAAGAGAGGAGATGGCAACTAACCCCCGGCACAGTCGGCCGGGTTCAGGGCCCCAGGGAGAGAATCCGGCGTACAATGCGGGCAGAATCTAAGAGCACCGCTTTCTGCATCTTTCCCGGGAGTGAGCCGCCTCGGAATCCCAACCGTCTGAGATGTAGTTCCAGTCTAGTTTGGATAAGACCTTTTACGGACATATATTATATATTATTATCTGTTACGAATGGACATAATAGTCAAAGGATGGGTAGCAGCATCCCTCTTTAAACATGATCAAAGGTTTGCCAAGCAGAACTACTGGCAAGACTCTTCAATAGAGCGATGCCTATGTTCAATGTACAATGCTGATTTTCCAGAGGGAGACTGTACAAAAGTCGATTGCTTGGGTACCTCTGTCCCATTCGTGTTTCAACCGTGAAGCAGTTGCGTTTGCAAGGCTGTGTTTCGGTTTGAAGGGTGGGATATTGCGTGAATTTACTGGGTACGGAGGAATAACACCCGAGTCCTCAGGAATAGCAACGCATGGGGGTTATCATGGGCGAAACAGTATACTCTGTTATGTCCATGGTACTGCTCAAGTTTATAGGCGACGGATACCACTTTCCATTAGGTGGGCCGTCAGCTTGTTTGCCATTATAAGTTGTATAAAAAAAATATTTAAAGAATTGCCTAAAAAATCTAAATATCACGTTCTCTTATAACGACAAGTTTTCATATGAACCTTAAGGTAATACAGTGCCTTGTACAGCTTTGAGCAATATTCACACCTGTGTATCTTCCCATCTTTGCAATGCTTACGTTGCATATGGTGTGCCAAATTATATTTTTTCATTTGAGACTTGCATATGCTGCATTCTACGATTCCACCCGTGTGACAGTTCCTCAAATGAGTTTTATACGCACTACTATTTAAAAACTTCGCTGGGCACAGTGAGCAAACATATTCTGTATCCACCTCCTGCTGTTTATGAAACCTCCATTTTGGCTTCTTCCCTTCGTGGATATGCTGCATATGTTTTTTAATATATCCCTTCTTAAATAACTTATCACATATCGCACACTTGACTTTCTCTTCGACAACTCCTGTCGTTATACACTCTCCGTGTACATTAGTGACGTGTTCGTGCCATCGTTTGTATGTAAATATCTTATTGCAAGTCTCACATTTGTGTAAAGCTTTCGTCTTTGGTATACCACAGTTTGGAGAGTACAATACGTCTGTTGTCACACCATTTTCAGATATAACATCTTGTTTACGCACTTGTAATAAATTTTTCTGTTTCTCAACGCACATGTGACGTTTCTGTTCGTGTTCAGAGTAATACAATACGGAACAGTCGTTGCATCTGTATTTTTGTATCTTACAATATTCTATGTCGACACATAAATGAGACAAATTGTGTATGAATAATGAATACCTGAAACAGAAAGTATATCAATGTAAGTAAAATTGTGGCATCTCGATATTACAATGACATTTAAATTAGGCGACTAAGCGTGTGCACCGTTAGTTGCCTTTTATAATACCCATGGGAAAGGAAGGGCGTGGCCTATTCTATGCTGGGACCACATGGTAACTATAATATCGTCATAGTCAGTACCGTCAGTATTCTAATACTGACGGTTCTGACAAAGATTACATATAAAGATCTATCAGTATTCTATGACTATGATGGTATATTTGGCCAAAAGGCAACCATTTCCCATCGTGCAGAATGCATAGACTTAGCTGAGTAGCTACCATTTTAATCACATGCTTTCTAATTAAGTATATGTTTATTTCTACATTTTTCTTCTTTAAATTCATAATTAAGTTTCTGTTGCAATTGTTATTGGTATGGGCCAAAATATTTTTTTTTTTCTTTCTTTCAAACCCACTTAATACCTTAATAGTTTTAGTAATATAATTGTATATATATATATATATATATATTATTAATTCACTCTTGCGCCACCTGCCCACCTCTATCTGTTCTCCTTTAACCATTGCTATTATTGTTTACCATAATTTACCTTAATACCATTGCTATAAATTGCTATTAGATAGATCATGGTCATACCTAGGAAGGAGCATTGAGGGGTAATGCCCTACCTTAAAAGGCTCAGTGCCCTACCTTAAAATTAAAGGCCCCTAGAAAATTAGATTCGCTTTTTTGAAGTCACTTAATTACAGCTTCTGCCCAATGAACAAGTTCTCTTGTCCTACCTTAAACTTGGGTCTAACTATGGCCCTAAGATAGATACATTATTTATTTGTATTACTTACAGCACACAAATAACAACAGATATAGTTACACATACATATACAAAAGAAAATGCTTAAAAGAAGTAACAAAATCAGGTGCTTTTACATGGGAGATACTTGTATATAAGAAAAATTAATAAGACATATTCTACTAAGACTAATTGAAGCCAAAACAATACTAAATAATCATAAATATTTTATTCGTCTATTTGTTCTAATATTGTGCAAAAACTACTGCACCAAATTGGATACAGTTTTCATTCACAGTTGTGTTTTTGAAGGTCCAGCTTAAAATATGGTACGTTTTATTTTAATATGCTGTCTAGAAGTGGTCTAAGTAGGAAGTAGCAGGCAAATACTAGTTTTTTTTTTTTATTGTATAGTAATGGAATGGTCACCAGCTTGCAGTATCGGTATACACTGGCGGAGCACCAGTGATATATGAAAAGTGAAGATGAAAGAAGGTCAGTTAGCCCATCGTGACAAATTCCACAATAATTAGCCACAATAGTTTCCAGGGGGGACCGGGCAAAAAAACTAGTTATAAACTAGTCACCTGCTCTGACTTTGCACAGATGTACTAATAAAGAAATAGAAACCAAACAATCTGTTAATATATTTTAGAATAATCATATTAAAAATAAAAAAAAAACTATATAAAGTCATACCTGCACGGTAACACTCTGTAGCATATTGAACACAACTGATCTGATGTATTCCTTAGCTCCTGATAGCTCACAACCCCGTTGGAGTCCTCATCGCAGTGCTCGTTTCGTTCTTCGTTATTTAAAATTTGAATTTCTTCGATTTTTACATCAGTAAGTATTTCGAATTTCAAATCTAATGAGTCGTCATGATCACTGAAAAACTCTTGCTCTTCTTTTATAAAGATTTCAGATGATAATTCCATTGTAATACAATTTACATTGCGTTTAAATTGAATTAAAATATACCCACAAAAAGAAGACTAAGAAAAATTATTTGAAAGAAAAAAATAAAACAAACAAACGGAAGTGGCCAGTTCCAAATGACAAAAGTAGATACTCTGTAATAAAATTAAGGTACTCTGTAGTACCCGGGATTGCCAGATATATTTATTAATTCTCCCCAAATATGAAATAATTGTTCTACAATATGAGATGTTCCAGAGTAAGATTTGTACTTTTTTATACTATCAGGCGCATAGTCACTATTTAAAACAGGCGATATAATACCACTGCTATCTCTAACGTAGGTATCTAACCTAATGTAATTGGGGTAACTAATGTTACAATGCGCAAAATAATAGCAACCGTACACGGTCATTACAACTATTTTATTCCATTACGTACCCAAAAAAGAGTATAGTATGATTATTTGTCTATGAGTATGATAGGTACATGTTTCATTTTTGACAGAGATAGAATTCTCGTTTTCTTCAAGATTGGAACTTACTTTACAATTTAGAATGGCAAACAAACTAACGGCCCACCTGATGGAAAGTGGTAACCGTCGCCTATAAACATGAGCAGTACCACGGACATAACAGAGTATACTGTTTCGCCCTTGATACCCCCCATGCGTTGCCATTCCTGAGGACTCAGGTGTTATTCCTCTGTACCCTGTAAATTCACGCCATATCCCACCCTTCAAACTGAAACACAGCCATACAAACAACTGCTTCACTGTAAAAACACGAACAGAACAGAGGTGCCCAAGCAATCAACTTTTGTACAAAGTCTCCCTCTGGTAATCCGTTAGCGTAGCCGGGGTTTTTTTTTCCAGCAATAGGATTCTCAGTCTCCATTACTAACAATCCTTTTCCCCCCAGCGCAGGCGGGGTTACCATACCATTTTCACCCATCAAAAAAGAAGTGAATTCAACAACCATTAATCACGATTGTTTCCAAGAGGAACTGCCACGGAGATCAACCTGTACAATATTGCTTGCTAGTAGTGGAGCAATTAGATGCCCATTACTAACAATCCCCTCCCCCCACATAATTAAGACTGTATGCCACAAAAGAAACTTCTTTAACTGTGGCAAATTCAGTAGTTTTGATTCTAAAACGGACTTTTGTACAAAGTCTCGAAATAATATAAACATCATCATCATCATCATATCTGTCACGCCTGTCTCCCATTAGGGTAGGCAGAAACAATGGAACGCCAAATGCTTCGATTCAAACAAACCTCTTTCGCTTCCTCCACATTCATCAATCTTGTCATACACGCTCGTAATATAAACAATTTATTATAATAATGTTTTATTAACAAATCTATTTACAAAATATACAACACAAATGCCAATGCGTATCGTAATGCAGTACGTAATTCACAACAACATAATGACACTCGACACATTCGCTCTTTCAACTGTAAAATAATTTACTAGTAAACAATTCTATAATATTTAAGTCTTATAATGACCAAGTTTTTTTTTTATATTTTATTTTTTTACACAAACTTAGAATGGCAAACAAGCTGACGGCCCACTTGATGGAAAGTGGTAACCGTCGCCTATAGACATGAGCAGTACCATATACATAACAGACAACCCATGGGGGGCATCATGAGCGAAACAGTATACTCTGTTATGTCCACGGTACTGCTCATGTCTATAGGCGACGGTTACCACTTTCCATCAGGTGGGCCGTCAGCTTGTTTGCCATTCTAAGTTGTATAAAAAAAATTAAACATATTGTATTTATTATATTAACTGTATCTATTCATTTCTGTATATTTTTAAATGGCCAATTTAGAAAAACAAGTCAAACATATTTACGGTATCGTTTCTAGGATTAATAATGAAAATAGAATTTGAGCAAGCACTATTAAAAATAGTCATAATAAGTAAAGATACCAGTTATTTTGGTTTAAAAACTAAACAAACGAACCGATTTTGATAAAACTTCTGCGGGACCAATCTGTAAGTATATCCTTGAAAATAAAAAAAGAATTTTTCAAATCGGTTAAAAACTGACAGAGTTATGGGGTAACAAACATGAAAAAAATTACAACCCAATTGAGTACCTCCTGTAGGACATAGAAGCTCCGCTATTTTTAAAGTTAATTGAGAAGCAGGCATGATACCATATCTCTCAAATTGAAATTAATCTATCATTTATTTAGATATATTTTTCAAAACTTATTAAGGATCACGAACTGATCCCGAAACTAGTCGAGCTTTCTCGATGTAATGACACGTTTTTTTTTATACAACTTAGAATGGCAAACAAGCTGACGGGCCACCTGATCGAAAGTGGTAACCGTCGCCTATAGACATGAGCAGTACCATGGATATAACAGAGTATACTGTTTCGCCCATGATACCCCCCATGCGTTGCCATTCCTGAGGACTCAGGTGTTATTTCTCCGTACCCAGTAAATTCACGCCATATCCCACCCTTCAAACCGAAAGACAACCATGCGAACACAACTGCTTCGCGGTAGAAACACGAATGCGACAGAGGTACGCAAGCAAACGACTTTTGTACAAAGTCTCCCTCTGGTAAACTAAACCGGTAATGTAATGTAATGTAATGTAAGAAAGACTCTGTTTTCCGCACTTAGCCTCCCATTTGGGCCGTTGTGCGTGTGAGTCGTGGCTAGTACAGCCAACCTAGCTCCGCCCAGAAGCGCAGAAGCTTCCTGGGTTCTTCACAGGCTTCACGGAGCGACCTCACCGTTCCGAGGATTTCTAAACGTTGATGGGCCACAGCCTCACATTCCAGGATTACGTGAGCAGCCGTTTCTTCAGCGTCGAAACAGCCTCGACATAGAGGGCTGTCTGTGGCTCCTATTGTGTATAAATGTTTGTTTAATGGACAATGACCCGTTATTGTCCCTATCATTATTTTGAGGTTTTTTCTATCTAGATATAATAAACGTTTTGATAGTCGTTGATTCAACGTAGGTACGGCCAATTTTGATTGTCTGCAATCAGTAGCCTGTATCCATCTTTGGTTTTGTATGTCAGCGGATCTTTGACGAATCCACATTCGAAATTGCGAGAACGGAAGAGGAAGAAGTGGATACGGGCCTACCACCCTCGTTCCTGAGCCTCTTCTAGCCAGTTCGTCTGCGGCATCGTTACCATAAGATCCACTGTGCCCTCTTATCCATTGGAGGATAACTCGGTTATTGGAAGATATCCTATCCAGTGAATGGTGGCATTCAATTATCAATTTGTTGTTTGTCTTGTTGTTTCGTAATGCTTTTAGTACTGCTGCGCTGTCAGATAAGAATCTAATGCTAAAACCATTTATTCCTAGCTTATGTACAGCTGCAGCAGCCTCGGTTATTGCAACACATTCGCATTGGAATATTGAGCTGTGTACGCCAAGCGGTATGTGCACGTTTATATTCAGGTCTAAGGAAAAGACTCCGGCTCCTGAACCGTTCTCGGTTTTGGAGCCATCGGTGTATATGCGTAATTCATGTACACCGGATTGGTCCTTTTCCTCTTCTTGAATTTGTATTTGGTATTTTTTGTTAAATATATAATGATTATGAGTCCTGTCACACGGAGCCGCAATCAAAGGTTCATATTCGATTGCCTGGTTAAAACTAAACCGGTAGTTAGTATTATATTAAAATACAATGTCAGTTTATTAATAATAAAAATATTTCAATAGACATATAAAATTGTAAAAAAAAAAAAAAACAAACGAACATATGAAATCAGATAATTTACAATTTTCTTTTTCAATTTTGATTTTTAAATGCGAACAGACGTTGTGCGTCTTGCGACAATAAACCTATTAATTACAAATAATTTATTCTAGCAACACTACGCCGATCTATGTCTACGGTAACGTTTAAACTACATATTTGCGCGGTATAAAGTGTTTCTTTGTTATCTTCACGCCGATACCCTCGTGGGGCAGGCATAAAGAGTCGAACGACAGACAATAAAAAAAAAGATTATGGTGTAACAGTAACAAAAAAAAAATGTTTGTGCCAAGACTTTTTTTTTAAATTAAATTAATTCTATTTTCCCATTAATTTATTATGTATTTCTATCAATACTTTGAGATAATGTACAATAACTGGGCGCATTATGAAATATCTTTATCGATTTTTTAAGTATGTCTAATTAAATTTGGTACTTTATCGACGAATTCTTTTTCCCATAAAACTCGGTATTTTTCTCAATATTTTTATTATTGTACAATGACTGGGCCCATAACGGATCTTTGTAGATATTTTTAAATTCACCATAGTTTTTGAACACGTGTATTTTATTTTTGCATATTTTTATATTTATCCTTTATCCAAGGATAAAGATTTTTTTAACTACAGATTAACCTTTTATCCGCCCCAGTGTATAAGGGATTTAAAAATTTCAATGTATCAACTTTGGATGATGACGTACGTGAGTCATCTATCATTATCTATGTCTAATTGTCTAATTATTAAATTAGTATTTTTTATAAATGCATTTACAACCTGCAACCTTGTAAAACCTGTTACAATATGTTACTTGGGCCTGTTTAGACCCGGCTCGAAGGACCAATTTATTTAGGCCCTTACTAAATCCAAATTCAAATCAAATTTTTATTCAAATAAGACTTATTTACAAGCATTTTTAAATCGTAATTATTTTTTTTAATCTACTGCAGGGTTCATAAGGTTGTTATCTGTTGAGAAGAGCCCGCAAGAAACTCAACAGTTACTGTTTTAAATCACTGTTAACATTATGTGTATTTATTTAAATGTACTATGTCTAAAATTGCATGGTCGTTAAAAGCCCGTGCCTGATCGACTAGCACCATGCCACGCTTATCATTCAAGTAATCGTTTAGTGTGTAATAAGCTTTATTTAATAATAGTTTTTAATAACAGTTTTCAACATAATAAAAGCTAGATCCAAAATATCCTTCGTTGTCTTATTATATTTAATGCCTATTCCCAAGAAAGACCAACTTTCCCTTTAAAAAGAGATGGAAATTATAACTGAGCGAGATAGGATGAAGTTCAAAATTTGAATTATTAATTTAGTTGTATGCGTGAAACAAAACACATCATTTTGTGTTAGACAGAGACATACAGGGTATGTATACTTGTTAATTTATTTATTTATTACACTTCAATACACCTAAATAGTGTAAATGGCGGACTTAACACCATATGGTGTTGTCGATCAGTCATATAACACGTGACAAGGATGGATTTACGCGGATTGCCAAGGTTAGACAGAGATAGGTAACTCTATTATGTCTCTACTTGTAATGTATCTATATGAACAAGATGTCTTCATGAAAATTCTCAAATATTATTTGTTTTTTTATTTTCCCACCGTTGTAGATTTTTTTAAAATAACTTCCACGAATTTACTGTTAAAACACAGTGGCGCCATCTTCGCAGACATTGCATAAGTTTCCCTTTTTTATGGTTACGTTGTAACACAGTAGCGCCACCTTTGCACAGCTTCAAGTTCAGTTCGCTATTTATTTTATTTCTAATACTCCTCTGCCATGATCAGCGTAACGAGCGCCGTCCAGCCCGTGAATGGTCGACAGCCGCTGCCTTTACCGTCCTCGGATGAGTACTGTTCCCAAAGGTACCCAGTGCGTTTGTACTCGGAGAGAATGTTACCTGTGAAAGAGATGGCGTTATGGCATGTTACTAATGAATAAAAGGGATAGATATAGTTGTGCCGGTCAAACTGCAAATAAGATAACTCCTAGATGCCTTTGATGCCTTAGTATTTTATATACATTTTTTGTAAATTTTTGAGCTGCTTTATTGTACTTGTAAATTACATTGTTAATGCATATTTCCCACAAGAAAATTTTTTTTTTTTTTTATTAAATAACAACTTTCACCATTGTCTTGACCCACGTGATCGGGTACATTTACTGACAGGGATAAAAAGTAGCGTGCGTCCTTCTCTACCCCATATAGGACACGTATACTACATTTCATAGTGATCAGTTAAGGCGCTACAAACAAACACACTCACATTTACAATATTAGTAAGGATTTGAAAATATATGGCGGAAATAAGTAACAGAGATATCATCCGAAAATTAAGACAAAGTCTCCTGGTGTTACATACGGACGAGGTTCTGGCGGAGGCCGGCGTGCAGGGCGGCGGCGCGGGCGGCGTGCGGGCCGGCGGCGGCCGCGTAGTGGCGCAGCGCTGACAGCGCCAGGAAGTTCACGTTCACCCACACCTGGCCGCGCCAGTACGGCGGGTCGTGCTCCGTGTTGCGCTTCATGTACAGCGGCGACGACTTCGACAGCGACCTGCGGCGTCTCTTACATGTTCATGTTCTCCTGGTACTTGGTACAATAAGTAAACACTAAGTCTGATTTGTTATTTTATGTATTTTTTTTTTTTGTATTTGATACTAAGTAACTACTTGCATACTAACTTAAATCCTGTGGTTGTTCATATTTATATTTTTTTTTTATTTTTTATTTTTATTTTAATATTACTCAGGCAATCAGTAAACCTTTGAAAAAAGAGAAATGTTGACAGACTGCATCTCTAATACATTTATGTTCTCCTGGTACTTAGTTCACAACTAAACACCAAATCTGTGTTGTCATTTTACCAATTTAATGTAAAAAAACCGACGAAAACAGTTTTCAATAAGCTAAATAAGGTTATAAGAGGTTTTTTATAAATAAGTTTCTTATAAATTTATGTTCCCCTGTTGTATGATTGAAAGTATTCTTGATATTTGGCATTCTAAGTTGTACAAAAAAAAACAGTGTAACTGGTCAATGCAAACTACTGTAAATCAATAAAATAATAAATTGATGGTGTTTTTTTCTAACCTTAATCCGTATGGTGACCACAGCAAGTCAGGTTTATCCAGGTCTTGCAGGATTTTCCCTAGTTTGTCACTTTCGGGCCGCAATACTTTTAGTAACATCGGGAACAGGGATACATAACCTGTAAAGAAATGATTTCATAATTTTATTATTATATATTAGTAATTTTTTTTTATACAATTTAGAATGTCTAACAAGCTGACGGCCCACCGGATGGAAAGTGGTAAACGTCGCCTATAGACATGAGCAGTAGCATGGACATAACAGAGTATACTGTTTCGCCCATGATACCCCCCATGCGTTGCCATTCCTGAGGACTCAGGAATGACAACGCATCTTATTTTTTAAACTTGTAATATAAGTTTTTGTCAAATCAAACTACCACTTAGTTTGATTTCATAATGAGACAGGTACCAGGATCACATAAACAACAAAGACTAACCAAATGCCGAGATTAATTAACACTAATTATTTTACCTAAGACTAATTTTGTAGTGGTAGTTTGATTTCATAATGAGACAGATACTAGGATCACATAAGCAACAAAGACTCACCAAATGCCGAGGTGACAAGCTTGAGCTGCGGTGGCACGGTCACACTTCGCACTACGCGCGGCGACTCGCCAGGGTGCTTTGGCGGTTGGCGGACAAGCCGTACCCCGTCAGTATGGAGACCTAGTATTAAAAATAGCACTGTCAAACAAAATAATATAAAAAAACCTACTCTTTACCATTTAAACGAGAGAAATTTTAATTTGCCTTTTTTTAACAGCTGTGTGTGTGGCCGTTTTAATTCAAAAGGTGGGATCTAGCAATTGCAGGAAAATATCAACACACAAGAAGTACTATAGACGTCACAGTATAATCTATGTTCGGTGCATTTGTAGAGCTTGAGAAGATAATTTTAAAGTAATACACTAGATGATAACCGTCGAGATAATGATGATGATGATGATGATAAACTAAACTGAAAGGGGTGATGGTGATACAGTGGTATTATAGACGTGATGTACTAGGCGAACATAAACTCACCGTAGTCCGCGTAGGTCTGCGTGTGCGGCGACCAATGCAGCTCGTTGAGGAGTTCTTCGTCCGCAAGCTGGTCGCGGGTCACCTCGAACCTGGCGCACAGAAATACGTCAAAATAATTGAATTATCCAAGTAAATAACTACAAAAAAAAAAATTGATAGAAAAATTATTTGAGAAGCACGATTTTTTAGCCAGGTCGACCTCTTCACCGTTTCCCTGGAAACCATCGTGATTAATTTTTAATTAATTCGTCATAATGAGCTTAACCGACCTGCTTTAACCCTCACCTATCATGATTCCCTGGTACATCGCGAACATAGACAGAGAGCGGGATTACCATTATCGTCCATTAAAAAAAAACCTGTTGCCATTGTCGATGGCGAGTGGTCGGTTACCTGGTGGGGTCGCGGTGCAGCAGACGGGCGAGGTACGCCATGCTGTCGGCCGCCGCGTACAGCCAGCAGCGCAGGTCAACGTGCCGCTCCGCCTCAGACGGGTGAGACGCCCTGCGGACACAAATTTCCATTCTTATCAAACTGCACGGAAAAACACATTTTTTTTCCCTTACATTGCAAACGCTGGCTGAACCCCGCGAGATAAATCAAAATAATGTACTACAGTATTGTACACCTTAAAAATATCAACAAAAAAGTCCGCGACGGCATATGTCTATCTCTTAAGGATAACCCACAATAACCATTTTTTATCCTTTACAGTTTACGGGAAAAAATTGCTTAATTACGAAGTGATTTTAAGCAATACGGCATTTATTTTTATCCAATTAAGTGCCCTAAATACATTGTCCATTTAATATAGATCAATATGGCCTTTACAGCATGCAATTTAAATGAATATTTCCAAAGATATTAGATTTAAAATGCAGGGGCATAGCGAGTGCAGTATTGCGATCGTGCGAAGCCGGGGCGGGTCGCTAGTATGTACTGAAGAGTAAATAAATAAATAAAATAAAAGGTTGTACGCTATAAAAATCCTTAGCACAGTTCCGTACCTAGGATAGTCGTCCAAACCGGAGGCCAGGGTTTTTGGATTAAGCTGCATACCGTCATCCTCCCGACCACGCCACCGGTACGACGTGGGCTCCTCGCCCTTCTGACTGGACTGGAACCACTGGTACCAGGCCTGGAATAGACACCAGAGGGAGACTTTGTACAAAAGTCGGTTGCTTGGGTACCTCTGTCCCATTCGTGTTGCAACCGTGAAGCAGTTGTTTGCATGACTGTGTTTCGGTTTGAAGGGTGGGATATGGCAGTGAATTTACTGGGTACAGAGGAATAACATCTGAGTCCTCAGGAATGGCAACGCATAGGGGGTATCATGGGCGAAACAGTATATTCTGTTATGTCCATGGTACTGCTCATGTCTATAGGCGAAGGTTACCACAGGTTCCATCAGGTGGGTCGTCAGCTTGTTTGCCATTATATATATATATATATATATATATATATATATATATATATATATATATATATATATATATATATATATATATATATATATATATATATATATATATATATATATCAGGGGGAACAGATCGTCAGTTAAGGTCGTCAAATTTCTAAGGGGGACCGCGTGGGGGTCGACCCGACAGGGTATATTGCTAGCAATGGGCAGGCGGACATTACATTTCCATTACCATTTTCTTGAAAATAAAAAAAAAACACTTAAAGTATCAATGCCTATATGTACTAGGATAACATAACACACCTGGAGCCTGGGGAACATGCGGTCCAAGGCGGGCCGCAACGGCCCGTGTGGCTCGAACAATTCCGGCCGGCGGCGGGCTTGCCGCGCGAGTTGCATCAACAGGATGGGCGGGTTGGCGGCCGCGTTGCTTTGCACCACGAACTCTTTTGGCACTCTTGCTAACGCCTCCGCTCCTGGTACCCGATAGATTAAGCGTCAAGCGTGTGACGAGTTTATCAATAATAATTATGAATGAAATTGAGACAGATATTATGTATATATAGTTTTTAAGCCATATACCGTTGTAACTCATCAGTAGATGGCGCTGCAGCGCATCAACATTACGACGTTGAACCGTTTACCTTAAAATTTGGTGCATAACTATTTGAGCATGGAGAATATATTTGTGTCATACAGGTTGTTGTAACTCTCTCCCGAGTAGTAGGATGAGCACGCCATCCACCCTATCTTGAGAGAGGAGACCTGCTCTTACCATCAGGGGGCGGGGGGTATATCGTCTGGTTTTTGGTGGGTACACCCCCACCTTACGGGGGGATTCCCACAGTACCCATTCACCTCCCACAAGGTGTATGGGTCTGCATAAAGCATTTTCCAGACGTTAAGAAAAGAAAAAAAACAAAAGGTTGTTGTAACTCGCCAATAGATGACACTGCGGAATAATAAGGAATTACATAAAAGGAATGATAAAATACGAGTATAAAATATGAATCATATGGTTGCCTCCTTTCTTCTTATGCAAATATAATTAGTAAAAAGAGGACGAAAGATACACCTACAGTTGTTATTTTTCTCAATTCATAGCAGGTAGTAGCAAGCCGTCCCGGCGTCGTACGGGTGGACATTTTTACATTTTAAAAAGTGGCCATTAAGGCTGCACACGCGACGGAAGCTTAAAAATGGAGTAACTTCTCCCGTTTTCCCAACATTTCCCTTCACTGCTCTGCTCCTATTGATCGTAGCGCGATGAAAAGTATACTATAGCCTGCCCAGGAGTATGAAGAATAATTGTACCAAGTTTCGTTAAAATACGTCGAGTAGTTTTTGTTTATATAACGAATATACAGACAGACAGACAAAAATTTTACTGATTGCATTTTTGGTATCAGTATCGATCACTAATCACCGCCTGATAGTTATTTTGGAAATATATTTCATGTACAGAATTGACCTCTCTACAGATTTATTATAAGTATAGATATAGAAGAAAGAAATAAATAAATAAAATAAAAAAGTACCTAGTATCTGTTCGCGAGGTATCCATCCTTCCACGTTGATGAGGTCGAGCCAATGTGCCGCAATGTCCATTTGTATCTCAGGAGACCAGCTCCCGATCAGCAACCCGTGGAAACCCTCGTCCCAGAGGAACCCGCGAGGGAAGAACGATCTGGTGAAGAAGGAAGATCTCTTGTGTTATTGGAATATTGGTGAGGTACCAGGGAGTCATGATAGATGAAGATGTAGTTGTTTTGTTTTGTACAACTTAGAATGGCAGAATTCAAATTCTAAATTATCTTTATTGAAATAAACTTGTCATATCAATAGTTCTTTTTTTTTTTTATCTACTGCAGTGTTTGGAAGGTTATTAAATATAATAGTACATTACTGCAGCGGCCAGCAACTGAGACATTGATGGACGTAAGTGCAAATGTGGGCTGAGACGTAGCCGAGGCACACATACGTGAGTCCATCAATGCCTAGTTGTGGCCAAGGCTTGTATAGTAGTTTTCTCAAACAATGCGCGGAAATCAAAAACACAATCTTATTTTTTAAGTTTAATGACGAATAACGAACAATAATAAATTTTCACGCGCCATAATGTTCCTTTGTTTTTTTTTTTCAATAAACAGCTTTCTATTTGCGAGCCAGTTCGAAATTTAAATAAAACCTTTTATTAGTTACCTCCTTGGTAGCCATGCTTCGAAGTAAAAGGTCATTCTATTTTTAAATTACAGGACAGATATGAGTTTACATAGTAATTTATCTGGCCGCAAAACACGACAGATATGGATTTTCATACAACTTTTGCCGGCCGCTGCCCGCATGTATCTGGCCAGTACGGCAATTTTGATTTATCTCGAAGAAAATTGTCAAAATAATGCTCATATTTGCAAGCATGTTTGAGAAAAAATAAATTACCTGCTAGGTACAGCAGTATACAGCGGTGCCCTCCAGTACGGTACTGGTTCCCTGGTATACTGCGATCGGACGCGACCAGCGCCGTAGAAGTAACCGATGCCTCCAATCATATTGGACATGGCCGCTCTAGCGATGGCTATGTCCTCTTCCGAGTATCTGAAAATTGACTTTATGTACACGCAATAAAGATTATTTTATTGCTTAAAGTTTTAATATAATTCAAAATCTGCCTACCAAAGTGGCAACGTCGCATCTATCTGTCAATATTTTTGAATGATTATTTACAATATCTGAAAATTTACTTTATGTACACACAATAATGGTTATTATTGTTTAAAATACGTCGCTTAATTCAAGATTTGCCTACCGAAGTGGCACCGTCGCATTTATCTGTCAATATTTTTGACTGATTATTTACAATATCTGAAAATTTACTTTATGTACACACAATAAAGGTTATTATTGCTTAAAATACATTGCTTAATTCAAGATTTGCCTACCGAAGTGGCAACGTCGCATTTATCTGTCAATATCTCTAACTTATTACTTAAAAAGTGCTCTGTTTGTCCTCTATATCATCATCACCATCACAGCCGTTAACTGTTCACTGCTAAAGAAAGATCTCCCCCTATTGGAGAGTTTTGCCAGTAGTTGCCACGCTTGGCAGGTAAATTGACAGCTGCACTTAGGCTTTGGTGACATTTTAAGAGGGACGCTACTACCATCCCTTGGCCATTTTGTTTCCTTCGTTGCCTCTTACGACACCTACGGAAAAGAAAGGCGTGGCCCATTCTAGCCGAGACCACACAGCTAAATGTTAGGTCGTATTTAGTCCTCTGTGTATTGGCAGACCCCGGAAATTGGGGGAAAGGGATTGTTAGTAATAGGGACTAATAAATAGCCTCATTGCTAGCAAGTTCTGTTTACACAATACTTGTAAACATTTTTATACAACTTAGAATGGCAAACAAGCTGACGGCCCACCTGATGGAAAGTAGTAACCGTCGCCTATAGACATGAGCAGTACCATGAACAAAACAGAGTATACTGTTTCGCCCATGATATCCCCATGTGTTGCCATTCCTGAGGACTCAGGTGTTATTCCTCTGTACCCAGTAAATTCACTGCCATATCCCACCCTTCAAACCGAAACACAGCCATGCAAACACAACTGCTTCACGGCTGAAATACGAATGGGACAGAGGTACTCAAGCAATCGACTTTTGTACAAAGTCTCCCTCTGATAACATAACAAACAAACAAATAAATAAATACTAAAGCAGTTGTTAATAAGCTTCATCAACCTCATGCGATCCTAGTACTTTTCATGTGGCAATTGACTCCTATTATGAGGGGGAAGGGATTGTTAGTAATGGGGAGGTTAGCCCCCCCCCCGTTATCAATATACCTTGTCAAGACAACCTCCATGTGGTTCTACCTGGAAACCATCGTGATTAATTCTAGCCGAATTCGTTAGGATGGGCTAAATGACCTGCTTACATCCTCACCTCCTCTCCCATCGGTGCCTCGACAGCATATACCAATAGCGTAGACGGTACTACCATATCATTACCACTTAATAAAGACTCACCCTTTCGCGGCCAATTGGAACTTGTCCTCGAACTCGGCGTCGAACGAGCTCTTCTTCTGTTCTAACACCCTAGTATATTCGTCCCCCTTCAACGGGGGCGCTGGCAGATCTTCCGTCGCGTACACAACGTCAAGCACGAACGGGGTCTCGACCAGCATTTGAAATGGTACAAAGTTCACGTCCTTTTCCTGAAAGAGGGAGACAAAACATATCTTTGTTGGTTTACTCCTATACAGACCTGCATAACTGGTCACCTCAGCATGTCCATAATATACTGTGCGGGGGGAAAGGGATTGTTAGTAATGGAGACTGAGAATCCCATTGCTAGCAATATACCCAACCAGGTCGACCTCCTCGCGGTTCCGCCTGGAAACAATCATGATTAATTCCTGATGAATTCATCATGATGGGCTAACTGGCCTGTTTTCATTCTCATCTATCACCCTTCACTGGTGTTCCGCCAGCGTATCCTGTTAACGCAGGCGGGGTTACCATACCATTATTCACCCAACAAAAAAAAATTAATAGGCGCACAGTGCGATTTTAGAGGAATTTTCCCGCAAACGCTCAGGCTGTAGAATAAGCTCCCTGCCGACGTTTTCTCTAGAGACTGCACATTGTATATTAAGTTTAATGATGCATGATAATGGAATGGTAACCCCGCCTGCGCTATCGGTATACACTGGCAGAGTACCAGGGACACATGATAGGTGCGGATGAAAAGGCAGATCAGTTAGCCCATCGTGACTAATGCAACAAGTATTAGTTACAATGGTTTCCAGGGGAAACCGCGTGGAGGTCGACCTGACAGGGTTTGCTAACAACGGGAGCATTCGTCTCCATTACTAACAATATCTTCCCCCCCCCCCCCTAATATATTAAAGTTCCTTTAATGTTCCACGCGCACGTGACACCTCTAGTGTTGCAGGCGTCCATAGGCTATAGTGGCCGTTTACCATCAGACGGGCTGTATGCTTGTTTGCCACTTTTATGGTATAAAAAAAAATTAAATAACGTTTATAAATATATTTAATTATATAAAAATACCTCATCATTGAGCTCGGCGTCTGGAGACAACACAGCGAGCCGCCCGAATGTCGAGTGACGCTCAACTTTCAGAAGAGAATACAGCTTCTCCTTGAGAAGATGCAGCCCTGGTGCGTACGCTTCTGAGTACGACGTGTGGAGCAATCTACCTGGATATACATATATATATGTTTATATATACATATATGTTTTTTTATACAACTTAGAATGGCAAACAAGCTGACGGCCCACCTGATGGAAAGTGGTAACCGTCGCTATAGACATGAGCAGTACTATGGACATAACAGAGTATACTGTTTCGCCAATGATACCCCCCATGCGTTGCCACTCATGAGGACTCTGGTGTTACCTGTACCCTGTAAATTCACTGCCATATCCCACCGTTCAAACCGAAACACAGCCATGCAAACACAACTGCTTCACGGTTGAAACACGAATGGAACAGAGGTACCCAAGCAATCGACTTTTGTACAAAGTCTCCCTCTGGTAAATACTTACCTTTATAAGGCACAAAAGTAACTCTAAAATTGCGTAGCTGCGGCGTGTGGCCCAGTATGGCGCCGTGCTCCACCCACAGCCGAGAGTGAGGAGCCGCCGGCCCGAGAGACTCGTCCAGCGCTCCATACCAGATCAGCATGAAGGGAACCTTCGCGTTGCCCTGCAAATGGAAAGAATCCATTTTTTCTTTTTTTTTTAATAGATGACAATGGAATGGTGACCCCACCCGCGTTATTGTTATACGCTAGCGGGGCACCAGTGAGGGATGATAGGTGAGAATGAAAAAAGGCAGGTCAGTCGGTCCATCGTGATGAATACACTTGTAATTTAGCACGATGGTTTCCAGGGGGCACCACGGGCAGGTCGACCTGGTTGGGTATATCGCTAGCAATAGAGCTCTTAGTCTCCGTTACTAACAATCCCTTCCCCCATGGAAAGAATTCATTAAAAATAATTTTGCCGTACGGTCCCGGCATAGAATAGGCCACCCCTTCCTTTCTCGTGGGTGTCGTAAGAGGCAACTAAAGGAAGGCGAGGGATGGGCAGCAGCATCCCTCTTAAAACATCTCTAAAGCCTGACTGCGGTCGCCAATTCGTCTGCCCTTGGCAGCAACTAATTTCGTAGCAAATAATCCCGTAAGGGCGAGGTGTTATGTCCAGCAGCGAACCGTCCGTTTACTATCGGGCCGTATGCTTGTTTGCCACCTCAGTGGTATAAAAAAAGTAATTATTAGCAATATACTCTATCAAGTCGACCTCCACGTGGTCTCCCCTGGAGACCATCGAGCTGAATTCCAGCTGCATTCATCACGATGGGTTGACTGGCTTGCCTTTTCATTCTCACCTATCATCTCTTACTGATGCCTCGCCAGCGTATACCGATAGCGCAGACGGGGCCACCGTTCCATTAGCATTCATTAAAAAAAGCATAGTTGTGCGTGAAAGTGAGAGTGTCTTGAAAACTGATGATGAAAGACTCACATTGGCAGTAACATTGATCCTCACAGTCCAGTGACCGCCGTGTTCACCGCCCGGGGTTTTCACAAACGAGGTAGTGATATTGTGCGGCTGATCCACCATCAGCTGCTCCCCGAACGTGACCCCGTCGTGCCGCAGCCACCCGTACGAGGCCAGATTGTCGTTCTGATCACACCAATGCCTGGAAAACCGGGGAGAAAAGGGATTGTTAGTAATGGAGACTGAGAATCCCATTGTTAGCAATATACCCAACCCGGTTGACCTCCTCGCGGTTCCCCCTGGAAACTATCATGGTTAATTCCTGATAAATTCATCATGATGTGCTAACTGGTCTGTATGCATTCTCATCTATCACCCTTCACTGGCGCTCTGCCAGCGTATCTTGTTAGCGCAGGCGGGGTAACCATACCATTTTCATCCAATATATAAAAAAAAACCTAGAACTGCAGGGAGGGAAGGGATTGTTAGTAATGCGGACTGCGAATCTCATTGCTAACAATATACCCTGTCAGGTCGACTTCCATATGGTCCCCCTGGAAACCATAGTGCTTCAGCACTATGGTTTCCTGGAATTCATTCCAGGTATATTCAACATGATAGGCTAACTGACTTGCATTTTGCAAGCAGCATTGCAGAAGCTTCCTGGGTTCTTCACAGGCCTCACGGAGCGACCTCACCGTTCCGAGGATTTCTAAACATTGATGGGCCACAGCCTCACATTCCTGGATTACGTGAGCAGCCGTTTCTTTGGCGTCAAAACAGCCTCGACATAGAGGGCTGTCTGTGGCTCAAATAGGCTATAAACAATTGAATTCTTTGCTACTACGGTTAGTAAAAGGTCCTTACCTAATACCCTTGTGTGAAGCAGCACTCAATTCGTACCACATAAGTCCAAAAACAGGGGACCTCGGCTCACGGCTCTTCATCCCCATATAGACACCAGGTCTGTACGTACCCCAATAGCGTTCAGGTACTGATAGACCCGAATCACTAACCACCTGAAAACCATGGTCAATAAAATTAAAAAAATATATATTAATTAATTAAATTACCCGAGGGAGACTGAACAAAAGTCATTTGCTTGGGTACCTCTATCCCATTTGTGTTTCTGCCATGCAGCAATTGTGGTTGCATGGCTGTGTTTCAGTTTGAAGGGTGGGATATGGCAGTAAAATGACAGGGTACAGAGGAATAACACCTGAGTCCTCAGGAACAGCAAAGCATGAAAGGTATCATTGGGTGACACAGCTACTCTGTTATACTGTCTTACTACTACTTGTCTACTACACTGTCTTTTCATAACTATAAGGTGTGAGATGTGTACCACCCACCCGATGGGAAGTGACAACCAGCAAGGTTACCCCTTCCCATCAGGTGGGCCATTTGCTTGTTTGTCATTCCAAGCTGCATAAAAAAAATTAAGTCATTTCTCTTAAAAATTTTATTCAGGCAATAGTTAAATTATTAAAATTTAAAAAATTAATAGAACCTTGTGAATCAAATTCTCCAGTAATGATATTTTAACTGTAAGGTACCAGGACAACATAAGCAATACAAAAGCTAGCTGAAAATGGATTAAAAAACATTTTGACCAAAAGGTACATAAACCTGTTCCATAGATTGCCAAACCTGAGCATTTGGGATTCTTTAGGTATTCTATGCATAGTGCATTACCTGCTGGTGAGCGTAGATCTAATTTCGCCTTAACTTAAGTTTCTTGTGAGTATATTCACTCCATTTATGCACAATTGCATTATAATCACAAAATAGATTTATTTCTGATAATGCTCTTCTGTCCTAAACTTATAAACTCGAATTAATTGCCATGCCCCCCATAAATATCAAATTGCCCCCTGTGGGGCGTGGGCCCCACGTTAGGAAATACCGGTATAAAGGAAACAAGCTCACCTTCTCATCGTCAAAGGGAGTGTTCACTCTCGTTTCCAAGTATCCAAGTGTGCCCACGTACACGGCTATCATAAAGCATGTGAAGCCTACGATGGTCTTCCATAGAGACAAGATCTTGAATGTCTTTTTGGTTATAGAACTCTCACTGCTGCCAGAACTACTGCTTGTGTCGTTGTTGTTACCGTGTTTCTGGTGTGCATTGCCAATTTTCCTATGTCTAACCATTCTATTTAAAATCCCTACTCTCTAACCTATGTTTATTTATGGGTAATTGACACGTTTCATGTGAATTATTATGATAAATTCGAATTATTTAGCAATTGGGGTTCAGTTTTGGAGATGCAACTGCAAACGTCAATACTTTTTACGTGCGAATTTTGACAATCGTTGACAGCCATTTATTGACATAACTCGTTCAAAAATTACAACGATAAGTGTTCAAAAATCCAGAATCATCAATTATTACTTTTTTTTTTTGATGGGTGAAAATGAAATGGTAATCCCGCCTGCGTTAACGGGATACGCTGGCGGAGCACCAGTGAAGGGTGATAGATGAGAATGAAAACAGGCCAGTTAGTCCATCATGATGAATTCATCAGGAATTAACCATGATAGTTTCCAGAGGGAATCACGAAAAGGTCGACTTGGTTGGGTATATTGCTAGCAATGGGATTTTTAGTCGTCATTACTAACAATTCCTTTCCCCTCAATTATTACTCTACACAAAAATAATTTAGTTATAATAATAATAATAACAAATCCAATAAAAAATAATGTAGTATAACTAATTTACTTCTCTTATAATAATTCAGTTATGACAAATTTACAAATTGAATTACAGACTGTCATTAATGAAATACGTATTACTTTAAATTGTTACAGGATATAAAAATAATTCTGCAGTTTTAGTATCGATTTTCTTATATTTAATCTGAACATTTAATAATTGATTTGCCTTCACAATGTTATTAGGAATTATTTGATCATCACCATCTTCCTACCCTTATCCCAATTATTATTTAGGGTCAGCGTAATATATTTTTATTCATATTGCTAAAGCATTTGCCTTATAGTTCTACGACCAGCCTGACGTCAACCCTCTTTGGGGATGCATTTGTTGGTGGTTCCTCCCACCTACAGTTAGGGATTATTTGATATTTTATAAATATACTTTTATGATAAAACGTAATCAAAAATTTATATACAAAGTTGAGAAATGTAAACTCATTTACAAAGTAAAGAATATCTTATACCTATATATCTTAGAAATAATTTTATTTGTAGTACACAATATGTATTATATTTAAAAAGAAATGCGATGTTCGTCTTAGAAATGTACCCGCGAAACAATACAATAATCAATATTTATCTAAAACTAACTCAATGATATATGAAAAAAGTAATATATGAAAAATAATGGCCATTAAGTGTATAATAATTTACCAAATAATCTAAAAGAAGTATAAAATACTAAATTAAAATTGTTATTTTAAAAAAAAACGTTGCTTGAAAATGCTTTGTACAATTTAAATAAATTCCACAGTTGAATTCTTTACTTCTTGACATTACTTTTTATATTGACATTATAAATCAAGTCTCAAATAATGTGTTTTTTTGAAAAAAATGATGGTTTTATTAACTTCTGAGCATTATTATTGACAATTTTGCTGTAGTTTTCAATAGGTACCTCACTGGTACCTAAAAAGTGTATACCGATAGCGCAGGCGGGATTACCATACCATTTTCACCCATAAAAAAATCTCCGTTCTGCTATGTTTTGCTCTCTTCTGTTCTATACAGTGAAGCCAAATAATAGCCAAACCTCATATTGTCCAATATGAGGTTTGGCTTTAACTGGGCAAATGCCAGTAAGGCATATACTACACAAGATGGGTCTATCTTCGGACACACTGTGCAGACTGTGCGGGGAGAAATCGGAATCCATGGAACACTTGATGTGCAACTGCGATTCGTTGGCAAGTATGCGTATGAGTCTACTGGGAACGGCTTATCCGGAGCCAGGGGACTACAGATATCTTAAACCGCGGGATATCGTTCAGGTAATATATAGGCTATCCAAACAAATCTTCGCTCTATATTTTTTTATACCACTGAGGTGGCAAACATAAATACGGCCCACCTGATGGTAAATGGTTACCGTAGCCTATGAACGCCTGCAATACCAGAGGTATTGCGCGCGCGTTGCCGACCCTGAAGAAACCTCTTTACCCCCCTTTTGAAGAACCCAATACTGTAGTCTCTTGGGAAAACCTCGGCAGGGAGCTCATTCCACAACCTGATTACCTTTATATAATATTAGTATTGATATATTTTTTTTTATACGACTGAGGTGGCTATTACCGTGTGGTCCCGGCGTAGAATGGGCCACCGGTTCCTTTCCAATGGATGTCGTAAGAGGCGACTAAGGGAGAGCGAGGAATGAACAGCAGCGTCCCTCTTAAAACATCTTTAAAGCCTAACTATGGTTGCCAATCCGTCTGTATTGCAAAATATGGCAATTCAGTAATTGGATAGTTCCAAAATCCCCCAAGGGGGAGGCTTATGTCCAGCAGTGAACAGTTAAAGGATGAAGATGAAGCGGAAACCGTGCATACGTAAGTGGTTACCGTAGTCTATGAACGCCTGTAAAACCGAGAGCATTACGCGTTCTTTACCGACATTGAAGAAACCTCTTTATCCCATTTTTGAAGAACCTTTACCGTCCTTGAAACCTTTTTATCCCATTTTTGAAGAACCCTATGCTGTAGTCTCTTCCAAAAAACCTCAACATAGAGCTCATACCATAATTTGAACATTCGTGGGAGGAAACATCTCTGAAACTGTGCTGTACGCGACCATGTAGGCTCTAAGGTATGGGCGAGAACTCCCTGTCGATGGCGAGCTGTACAATGGTCGAGCTATTAATAATACTAATTTATGTATTTGTTGTTAAGCGTGTTGAGTCTCCCATCCGGGAAATAGATATCGGCGAGCCGCACGCATGCTAAAGGTAAAGGAGTTAAGGGGCCGCCTTAAAATCAGCGCTATATAGGTATTTCTCGCTGGAGCTGTACATATTATATATACTCGTAGCAACAGCAAAGAGGGTTGACGTCAGGCAGGCGGCCGGCCGTAAGACTAGAAGCCAAATCTTTTTGTAATATGGATAGAGAAACATATTACGCCGACCCCAAATAATAATTAATTAGCACACCTGCAATGCTGTTGGTGTTGCGGGTGATCATGGGCGGCGGTAGGCACTTACCATCAGGTGAGCCGCGTGCTAGTTTGCCCCGTGTGTTGTAAAAAAAAATGGGATAAGGGTAGGATGATGGTGATGGGTCAGATCCTCATAACTAACAATAATCTCCCCCCCCCCCCCACCGCAAAAAATGTCCTAGTATGTATATTAATTTTCAAAGTTCTCTATGTTTGTTTTGAATGTTGTGCAGAAGAAACGAGTAAAACCTCCAAAGGGGGAGGCCTATAATCAACAGTGGATAGTTACCGGCTGACAGAATGATGATGAATTGTGTATAACAGAAAAAATATAGTATTTAGATAGATAGATAGATAACCTTTATCACCAGTATCAAAAAAAGAGGGAGTCTTTGTACAAAAGTCGATTGCTTGGGTACCTCTGTCCTATTCGTGTTTCAACCGTGAAACAGTTGTGTTTGCATGGCTGTGTTTTGGTATGAAGGGTGGGATATGGCAGTGAATTTACAGGGTACAGAGGAATAACACCCGAGTCCTCAGGAATGGCAACGCATGGGGGGTGTCATGGGCGAAACAGTATGTCCATGGTACTGCTCATGTCTATAGGCGACGGTTACCACTTTCCATCAGGTGGGCCGTCGACTTCGTTTGCCATTCTAAGTTGTGTAAAAAAAATGTAGCAGGTATACCTTTTCAGATAAAGAAAAGAATATTCCAATTCGATTCACAACTGACGACAGTTATGAGGTAACAAACATAAAAAAAAGACGACTGAATCAAGAACTTGAGATTTTAGTGTCGGCTAGAATGATGCACGACATTTTCGTTTAAAACCATTACAATGTTGTTTAATAAACATTCAATTTCTTTTTAAACTTTCGCGTTGTTTACGCACATTTCAAACTAGCTTGTTTCCCGCTTAAATCTGTATACAGAATATCTTAAACCTACCTTCATAAAGTTGCAGCCAATACAACTGATCGGTTATTTTATAGCATTTCATATGTGACTCTTTAGATTGATATAACTTTTTTATTTATGAACCGATTGAAATAAAACAAACACTAAATGCTAAGAGGAACAAACCGAGGGGAAAGAGATTGTTAGCAATGGAGTTTGACAGCCCCATTGCTAGCAATATGCCCTATTACGTCGACCTCCACGTGGTTCGCCCTGGAATCTATCGTGAATAATTCTTGTTGACGTCGTGTTCGTCACGATGGACTGTCTTCATCCTCACCTATCATGTGTCCCTGGTACTCCGCCGGTGTATACCGATAGCGCGGATGGGGTTACCGTCCCATTATCACTCTTTAAAAAGAAAGTGGGGCAAACCGAAACGCACTAGTGAAAACCGCATTCAAATCGGTTACACTGTTTCTGAGATTAGCGTGCACAAACAGACAAATCTAAAAATCTTTATTTTGAGTTTTATAAGTTTTTTCTTATATATGTTTCCCATGTACAGACAGCGATCAGTTAAGACTTTATTATGTGTGTGGATTGAGCAGTATTTCCACCGCAGCCGTGCAAGAGTCTCGCACGAGGGACACGACAAGGAACGAGATGTTACGCGACATGGAGCGGCGCGCACGGGACGACACCGAAGCGTGTATCGACGCCAAAGACATTGTTGAAGCAGGTAAATGTTTAGCCTATCCTACTGATATTGTAAACCGTGTGGTCCCGACATTGAATGGGCCACCCCTACCTTTTCCATGGGCGTCGTAAAAGCTAAGGGAACATAACGGTCGAGGAATGGGCAGCAAATGGGGATTTTAATTAATGAGCATTATCAGTGCATAGTATAAAACAAAGTCCCGCTCTCTGTCTGTTCGTATTAATGCTTAGATCTTTAAAACTACGCAACTGATTTTGATGCGGTTTTTTTTAATAGATAGAGCGATTCAAGAGGAAGGTTTATATGTATAATACATGCATAATATTGTAGAGGAACACACACGATTTTATTATATTATATGTATTGATAATTGATAAACTGTAATTATTTTAAAGTTAAAAGAAAAGAAAATAAGGGGGGAAATGTGAGGAATGGTTTTTTTTCTCATATTTTCGATTATAAATAAAAAAAAAACGTGACATAAAAATAAATAAAAAAACAATTTTAAAATGTACAAATGAAGTCCTTTCATATAATACTAT